AGGAATGTATATGTCTGTTGTAAAATGACAATAAATATGAGTATAAAGTTTGTGGAGCCAATTTGTCCACATACGCAGACGTACCAGGGAACATTTATTCTCAGATCTTGTATCAACACCATCACTTTTGCAGCTGCCTCATGCAGTGTAAAATTGCACATACTACAATGGACTTTCCACGGACACCAACAGATTAAACACAAACATTTATTAACACAAATGCATCTTGATAGTTCATTATTCATTAGGCATGCTACATGTACAGGCTTGTTAATGCAGCATTACAGCAGCTGTTCATTCAATTAAAGCATATTCATTACACAGTATTGTATAGCATATTTAGAACATCACACTGATACCATCAGAATGTAATTTGTTTCCCACTTACATTCGATGAGGTGGTCAACAAGTCGCTCCCAAGTCGCAAGTCGGCTTTTCCTTTTTTCTTCCTTTTGTTGTATAACACATTCTATATACTCTACATCAAGGATGTTTATCCGTAAATCTGTGAACAGCCTAAGACATGATGGTGTCTTGTCTCCATAGTAGGCACACTGTCAAATAGGGAAGGAGAGAGAGAGTCTGTGGGATGTGGAAACGGGTCAGCAAAGTCAGAGACAAGTCAAAGTGTAAATTTGAGGTGGGGGTGGAGGGGTGTGTGGGGTAGGAGAAGGGCAGGGAGTGGGAAGGGGGTTAAACATGTTATTGTGCAGGGTGTGGAATTTCAATGCCATGTGTGTGTGTGCTTGTGCAGTGCATGGCTAAGGGCAATTTCATGACCGTAAAAGCCAACAAACTCAAAGAACAAAATCTTAGAGTAAATATATCCAGTAAACGTAAAACATTTTTTTTTAAATCAATTCATAAAAAATACCCCATAAATACTTATATTTTGATTAATCAAATAGCATGACGGGATGGTGAAGGAACTTACTGACCAGAAGTGAAATCAGTGACTTCAAAAATATCCAAAGTAAAGGTGAAAAATGAAATGGAAAAAATGAGTATTTGCAAGTAGCCTATATTAACTGAAATGTTTAATGGCAATAATATTTTCCTATACTACATTTAGAGAAAAGTCAGTCTAAAGCACCTGCTCCCTAGCTTTGTGAAGTCTAATAAACCATTGTCTTGTCACTCCTGTTATTTATAGCCTTCAGCTGTGATTGAAACGTCAGTGAGAATGAGAAACCACCTCATGGACTAAGTGTATGGCCACAAACAGCAGCTAAATTTGGTTATCAGTTCACCTTTTAGTCAGTGGGTAATCCCGTTCTGTACACACAGTTCAGTAAATCACGGGAGTGCATTAAAGGGTTAGTTCACCCAAAAATGAAAATTAAGTCATTAATTACTCACCCCCATGCTGTACCAACCCCATAAGACCTTCGTTCATCTTTGGAACACAAATGAAGATATTTTTGATTAAATTTGAGAGCTGGATCAGTTCTATAGACTGCCTAAGGGACTGGCTCTTGACGGCCCATAAAGTCAATGAGGAAAATGTTTAAATATTCCATGTGCCTGCAGTGGCTCAACTATAAGTTTATTAAGCGACGAGAATACTTTTTGTGCGAAAAAACAAACAAAAATAACGACTTTATTCGACTATTCCTTTTCTTCATTGTTGGCCTGAAACGAGACTTCCTTAGATTTCCACGACGCATGGGCGAGAATTGCGATCTCCTTCAACTACTTCAGTTCAGATCTCGCGCATGCGTCGTGGAAATCTAAGGAAGTCTCATTTCAGGCCAACAATGAAGAAAAGGAATAGTCGAATAAAATCGTTATTTTTGTTTGTTTTTTCGCACAAAAAGTATTCTCGTCGCTTAATAAACTTATAGTTGAGCCACGGTAGTCACATGGAATATTTAAACATTTTCTTCATTGACTTTCTGGGCCGTCAAGAGCCAGTCCCTTAGGCAGCCAATGTGGTAGTTATACAGCTCTCAAATTTAATCAAAAATATCTTCATTTGTGTTCTGAAGATGAACGAAGGTCTTACGGGGTTGGTACAGCATGGGGTGAGTAATTAATGACTTAATTTTCATTTTTGGGTGAACTAACCCTTTAAGACTTGAGTGTGCGCTTTCTTCTCAAAAATTCAATTTCAATAATGCTGTTCATGGTTTAACACCAGTGATCAAATTTAGGCAATATGGCAGATCCACATGCAGATCAATAATAATTTTGTGAATGGAAAATCTAGTTCAATGAAAAGGGACAGACCAACAGACAGAAGAACCATATCAAATGTTCTCCTTGGCTTATTTAAGACATTTGAGGATCTCGTCTTACTTGGTGTTCGTGGTTAAAGCTATAAAGATTCCTTTATTGTGTTGGAATATTTAGCTATGCTATGAGCTTGCACTTGTGCCGTTGTATATGATGGATTGTGCTATCATTGAAAATAGCAGGATCAAAGCCAAACTGCAGCTGCTCGTGTCCTTTCATGAACCTGCATGAGCATGTAATGCATTTACAAAGGTTCTAAAGTTTCACGGTCGCATGCTTTTGTAAATATAAACGAAAACTAAAAATATTTAATTTATATTTCTATAATGTAGATATTATTTGATTATTATTTGATTATAGTTGCAACATCATCTCTTCAGTTGTTTTGGGAATGAGGTCAAGGAAAGTGCACTTGTCAGGTATCTCTGTCTGTCTCTGTGTTGGTGGGGTGGTGTTTCAGTACATTTGCAGATGTTTGGTACACTTAGGATAGGAAGCTGATGTGTCTGTCAACCACTGAGCAATGGTACATACAGTATATTCGTGGCCAAACATTCCTCCCTCTCTTCCAGGGAGCCAAATTATAGTCCCTCCTGACTAATTATCTCTCCTCTCACTTGTATACACAGCCTACACATTTAGTTAACTATCTAAATGAGGACATACCATAGATTGCTTTTGTTTTATATGACGCTTATTATTACACATGAATAATTTTCCAAAACTCTAGCAGAAAATATTTGATATCATCAGAGAAAAACATTATTTGCTTTATTTATGAATCAGTTTTCTAATTGGAGACTTTCCCAAAGGGAGGTTGTCATATTTAGCTGACTTCTGAGGACACACTATATGGCTAATTAATGCCAAACACACACACACACACACGTTGTTTTTTCATGTTCCATAAACATGTATTTTGTATTCCATTTCACTAACCCTAAACCTACCCATCACAGAAAATTATCTGCATTTTTACATTTTTAAAGAACATCACTTGTTATGATTTATGAGCTGTTTTCCTCATTGGGACCAAAAAAAAAATCTTTTTTTGAATATTGCCATCTTTGTGGGGACATTTTGTCTCCATAATAAGGTTTACCAGGCCGCACACAGTCGTACACATACACACACTCTGGAGAAAGTATGCATGCAGTGTGAGGTGTGGAAACAGCAAACCATGGTGCTGACAAGATGAGTTTTATTTAAACCTCATTCTGACGTCCAAGTAAGTGCTGCTGTCTGTGTGTAATTCAAGAGCAGCAATGGTTTGTGTTTGTATGTGTGTGTGTATATTTGTGAGTGAGTGATTGTCTGCCTGCGTACAAAACATCCACAGTGTTTGGATGAAACTGAATGAAACGGAAACAACTAGTTTTAGAACACAATATTTTATTTGCATAGTGACGAACGGCCTCCTTTAGCAGCATCAATTCATTGCCTTGGGAATGACCGTCCTTAACAGGAGCCAGAGGGATTTTGAAGCATTCCTTTTCCAGAACAGTGGTCAGGTCACTATGTGCTGGTGGAGGAAAACATTTTCTGAGTCACTCCTCAAAAATATCACAAAGTGGTTAATCGTTTTTTTAGGCTGTGATTAACCGAACCAGGAAAAAAAATCCTCAGCACTCAATTGGATAGAGTAGACCAACCGAATCCTTTCCAATCAACAAATGCCTTGATTGCGGTTGGCTGAATCTACACACCTAAATTCTTCAGCGGCACCCATTGGTTTTTGATGTTGGATATCTGTGTGTGAGGAATTGGATGTGTGTGTGTGGCTCTGGTGTGTGTGAAATCTCCAACACTATTTGTTACATGCATGTCCTGTGTTTCCCCTGCTTTTTTTGGTTTAGTCCTGCTCTCCCTTATTCTTTGTCGGTTATCGTTTGTGTATAGTGTAGTTTTTGTGTCTCCTGAGATTTTGAAGATTAAATTCCTGTTTCCAGTTATTCCTCGTGGTTCCTGGTTACCATGCAATCGTAACAAATTGGCCAGTCACAGTGTTTCAGTTTTATTGTCCAATTCCTGTACGCCGAGTCTAGCACATAGGCCTAACTTGATATTCCCCATGTTATGGATATCCTGAATAAATGGTTTTGCAAAAAAAAAAAAAAAAAATTGGTTAAATAAGTTCTCAGTGACAGAAAAATTAAAAGGACTGTTAAAACTAATTAAAAACTCTATTTATTTAAATTTATTTAAAAAAATATAGTAGATAATACTTTATAAAATATACTCCTGCACTGAAAACCCTAATAAGTTGATTTAACTCAATTGATTTGAGTAAACTCGTTCCCTCAATTTAATTGAGTAATGGGGTCTCCCAAAACTTGCATATTTAAGTTTACTTAACTTGGTAGTTATGTAGACTTGACTTAAATTGTTTAGTTCACCAAACTTGACGATTATTTAATACACTTAAACTATAAAGTTCACTTAACTTAGTGTTAATATCAATTGTACTTATATATTTAAGTATATTTAAGTAAACTCAACATGAAAATGTTACTGTAATATTATTTCAAAATATTAAAGCTATTATTTTTGACTGTAAGCTGTGTGCACACTGCACTTACATAAAACAATGAACAACATATTGATCTTTTGAATCTTTATTGACCAAAATATCAAATGGAAATGAGTCAACACTGTACATAACTTTAAATGTGGCAACAGTATCTAACATTAAGTAGTGCAATATCAATTGTACAACTCTGATCACTTACAAAATACACTTAAGTCTCAGATTTTTGTAAATGTACTGAACATTTACACGTAATGTACATTCTTTTAACATTTTACTGGTTTAAGCTTTATGCAATCACAGCAAAATAAGTAAAGCATACTGACCATAGTCACTGTCTTTGACCAAATATTTGCACAATATTACAGTACAAACTATACTGTAATTGAACACACTGTAGCGGTATTGTTACCAACAATGGTAACAATATACTAAATTGACTAATGCACATTAATTATAGAGCATTTCACAATTTAAACCACATTTTCCCTCACAAAACAAAACATTGTCAGAAATATTAAAGTCTCAAAGTGGCATTTTTTTTTAAACAAATATTTTCTGGGTCACAAAACTGAAGAGGTAGTAAAAATGGTACCAATACATGGTATATATATATCCTGCAAATCATTTGTAGAACATTCTCAGGGTGGTGTTAAAAGTCTCAAAGTGAAGTTTTTTTTTTTTTTTTTTTTTTACAAAAAGCTGGTTTGCCAGAGACTGCAATTTAGGCTTGAGAGAATATTGTCCCATTGACATTAACACACGCTGGATGAAATCAAACGTGTTGCCAAATGATTTGGGGTAATTCAGTTCAAGTTCGTAGATCAGACCGAAGAGGAGACACATAGCCTGTGGGAGGTCCTGCATTTTATTATTCCAATCGTAGAAGTTAAATACAAGGAATTGGGGGGCTGAAAGTCAGTGTCCTCAAATAAGATGCCCACTGGCACATTAAGGATGGAGTTGCGATGATCAGACACCTAGTGTAAAAACAGACATAAATAGAGTATTACGATCAGGAATCAAATGTTTATAAATTGATGTTTATCAGAACGTGCACTAGATTTATTAAAAACACACATAGCACTAACCTTAATCCCAAATTATATGGACAAGTATGCATTTGACTTTATGAAAATGTACATGTTTCCAGCAAAGATAATATTTTTTTTTAAGTATGCAGTATAAATTACATTTATTAATTTGAAGAACTGGCTACATTTGTATTTTAAATGAATAGTTCACCCAAACATGATAATGCACTCACTCTCGGGCCATTAAATATATAGAGTTGTTGTTTTGTTTTTTCATCTGAAAAGATTTGGAGAACTGTAGCATCACATCACTTGCTCCCAAATTGATCCTCTGTAGCGAATGGGTGTTGTAAGTAAGAGTCCAAAGAGCAAACGTGTGGATTAATTGTGGATTATTGTGATGTTTTTATCAGCTGTTTGAACAAGTTTGAGCATCTGTTTGCTAAAGAGGATCAATTTGTGAGCTGGTGATGTAATGCTGAAGTTCTCCAAATCTTTTCAGATGAAGAAACAAACTCTTCTTCATCTTGAATAATCTGAAGGTGAGAACATTTCCTGCAAATTTATTTTTTTGGGAAACTATTGCTTTAAAATCAACATGATTTTCAAATGCTTGACAAATGCTTAGACTAATGGGAGCACAGGTGGTTGTTTTAATGTTAACACGTGAAGAACAGATGCACTTACTAAACATGACTTGAAGAAATGAAGTCACCATCATCTCCAAGCATGATAGGTAGTCCTTGAATCACAAGGGTTAGGACCTCCGTTGGTTGGGCTGAGGAAAACACAAAATTCCATTAATGCCAACAACTAATCAATATATTTGAAGAACTTTTATAAGAATATACGATTAAATGAATGCTCTTAAAAGATATAGTTCCCCCAAAATGAAATTTCTGTCATCATTTAGCCACCCTCAAGTTATTCCAAACCTGTACATTTCTTTGCTCAGTTGAATACAAAGGAAGAATACATTTTGAAGAATGTTTGTAACCAAGCAGTTTTGGGCCAACATTGAGTTATACATGCTAAAAAAAAATAAAAATAACAATACTAAGAACACCAATTGTACCCAAAATTGTTCAATTACAAACATTCTTCAAAATATCTTCCTTTGTGTTCAGCGTTAACAAAGAAATGTATACAGGTTTGGAACAACTTGAGGGTGAGTAAAAGTTATCCTTTAAGTTATCTTAAATAAGACAAAACCTTTTTTTATTATTATTAACCATTACTAACCTTTATTTGATTCAAAAAGTTAGCCAAGTAACGTTACTGACCTGGAGTCCCCACTTTGGCTTAAAAAAGGTCCATGAACCGTGGACTATATCCATCAAGGTTCTCGTAGAAATCCTGCTTTAGGTTTTTGCCAGCAATTCTGTTGAACTGGGGAGATAAGAGCAGATCACATAATCACATTAGCGTGCACATTGAAATGCTTTAATTAAATAATTAGGAAACAAATGTAGAGGCTAAGAAATATTTTTAACACGTTAAAGGAATAGACCACTCATGCTCAAACAGTTGTGTGCATGGTTTGTTCTGCTGAAAACAAAAAGTAATATTTTTAATGTTTGTAACCAAAAGTTGCTAGTTCGCATTGACTTCTATAGTATTTTCCATATGACTAAATCGCTGTAATTATTGGTGACAAGCGTGACGTTAATTTTATAATTTTACAATCTACGAAACATCATTCGTCCTAGACTCGTAGCTAGTAACAAATGTTCTTATAACTTAAGATAGATACTTTACGAAATACTACGTTTTACAAGTCAAAATCAGAAATGTATCATGAAAATATTTGCAAGTTACTGGTAAAACTGACCTTTGCCCGGGAAAAATAACCCACATGGTCTGTGCATAGCTGCCATGTTCTTTCTTGCACAGAAAAAAAGATAATCGAATATGTAGCTATCTCACTAGTAAAATAAGAAAATAAGCAGTTGACATTTCAATAATCATACTATCACAAACTAAGTCATGAAGAAAACACTGTTAATTAATGTCGAGGTTGTCAAAAGATTGACCAGAAAAAACGTCACTAAGTTGACTGGTCTCAAATAACGTTAACGTTAGTTAACTATGTTCTTTTGCCGAGAAATACACGATTACACAATTAAACTAATAAATTAAAGAATCGTTTGAAATCGCAGCTATCATATCATCACTTAAAACGTGTTGGAAAAGTTTGACCAGGAACTAATTAACGTTATGGCTGCGTTCTCTTTTATTAACCGTGCAAGGATTTAAATAAACATATTTCTGAGTTAAAAGGTCATACAAAATAACTTTATATCTTAATAATTGTACTTACCGAGAATGTTACTCAAAGAAAAACTCCCGTCCCGTCTTCACATTTGAACTGGTTTCAGCAACTGACGACGAGACGATGCGAAAATCACCAATTTTGTAATCCACCAATCAGCGCATTAGTTCTCTTGTTGCCATGCAGAACTGCTTGCGTGGCAAATCGCATCAGAGGAAGATCAGAGAGAGACGTTTTAAACCTTTGAAATGAATTTGATTTAACGTCCAACATAATGTGTCGTCGCTGTATTTCTGTTATTTTGTATATTTTTTTTTATTGAGACTTGGTTAGTGGCTGATGTGAGGAACTCTTTCATGCATTTTGGCACGTGGCATATATGTGCACGTGAAATGTATGAAAATTGTGCAACCCCCAGTATTACAAAAGCACTTGAATATGGGTAATAAAGTTTATTTGTCAAGTTTAAAGTATCAGGTTTTTTTTTTTTTTTTTTTTTAAATAAACATCAGTTTATTTCCATTACAATCAATAATTGTAAAATGAAAGCCATTTGTTTTCTGGTAAAATAAGAATGACACCTTGCACTTGAAGAAAGCATGAATGAATGTATCATCATTTCACAGTTAAGACATTTTTGAAGATTACCTTTTGTAAGGTTTAATCATTATTTTGAGTTCACAGCACTTGAAATCTTAAGTTTTCGTATTTTGAAGGTAAATAAGTTATTTGAACTTATATTTTTGAGTGACAGGGCCAAAATGCAAAATTTTAAGTAATGTTTAGTCAAGTACACTTGATTGTTTAAGTAAAGACAACATTAGGGTTTACAGTGTGCTTGCTACAAAAAAGTGAGTTATTCTGCCATCTAGTGGCTAACAAATGTCATTGTGCAGAGAAATTGTGCACAAAAAGGTAAATTGAAGTGCTGCTCCAGGTTCACAAATTTTCGTCCCCTTGGAATTACAAGGTTCTATCTGACATTTCTGTCAAAATTGAGTTATTCACTTATTCTTATTCTGTGACAACTTATTATGTGATGTGTTTTTTTAAGTTGTGTTCATTGTGGGACTTTTAATGCTGTTCTTATGTTTGTTGTAATTTAAAGGGTTAGTTTACCTAAAAATGTATTTTTTGTCATTAATTACTCACCCTCATGTCGTTCCAAATGAAATGAAACTCGCTGTCTTCATTCAATTTTAAATGAATCTTTAGCCTACAAATTAATCGTTTAATTCAGCAAGGTTGCATTAAAATGCAACAAAAGTTTTCTGTTTCAACTAATTGCTGTTCTTTTGAACTTTTTCTATCAATATATCCTCAAAAAAAATAATAATAATAAAATTCAGCAGCACAACGGTTTTCGATATTGATAATAACAAGAAATGTTTATTGAGCACCAAATCATAAAGATTTCAGAAGGACTGAAACTGAAGACACATTATCACTGTTTTTACTGTTTGTATAATATATAAATAAATTCCACTTTGAGCTGAGATGATACTTCTTTCCAAAATGTAGTCCCCAAACTATTCTGAGACCACTTTAAAGGCCGGTTTGAAGGTAAAGGCTTAAGGGGGCAGGTTTAGGGTAAGGGTTCAAGGGTTAAGCAGTTAGTTGTAGGTTAGGAGAGATTGTATTGTGTCAATGAATGTTGATCTACAATAAGAGATTTACAAGAATGTGTGTGTGTGTGTGTGTGTGGGTCCTACCTTAAGTTAACAGAGCAATGTCCAATTTTCAATTGCTCAATCTACTGTGCATTTTTAGTGTCACCTCTTTCATTCAAAATTCCTTATCCTGCCCATTTTTTGGGTGTTATCTCTTAAGGTAGAAACTTATAACTGACTGAAACTGAAACTGAATAAATCAATAGTCCAATAGATCAATAAAAAACAAAGAACCATTTTGATAGGCTACAGAATAACACTATAAGAAGCATTTCTGACGAACACAGCTTTTGTGAAAGGCGTTGACGGTTTTAATTGCGCAGAACCTCTGATCCATTCCAACTGTGTGACTCAGCCTTTATGCACAAAGTCCAACTGATTAGTCCAGAGCTGTCACATTCATTGAACGCATCTGCGTTGTGTTGCTGACAAAACATAAAGTCTATTCCTATTGTCCACTCTCTCACTCGCTCTCGCTCTCTTTCTGTCTCTCTCCAAAGAAAGCACACAACCATTCGAACGTTTTATACAGTTTTGAACTTGGCTGGACATCATGCAGTAAAATAAGGGAAGTGAATGAAAAGGTAATAAAAGGGCGGGTGAGTGTGAGACTGACTCACCTGTTAGGCTATATGTCTGGTTTAACTTCTGCAGCAGTTTGCTTGTCTAGTTTTTTCTGCTCTTTATGGGCGTTGCTGATTATTTAAATCGCATGACTCTGGGGCAGGTTTCTCTTTCACACGACGTACGTTTGGGACAAGCATCTTAAATAAAATGTAAGTAAGAAGCTACTTAATCAATACACATGTGTGTCTAAATAAACGTCGCACAGAACTGCTGTTTGTTTCTTCTCGTTGTAATGAACAATTGCGACTCCGCGTTTCTGACAGATAGCCGCCTACCTGACATGTAGGCTAATTGTTTTGTCAGAAGCGCTATTGTAACGATGGGATAAATTATGCTGCTATCATAATGCTTGGGCTCTTTTTTGCAGTGCCATCATTCATCAGTCATGGAGGGTCTCGCTCGTGCCAACAGTCTCTTCGCTCTGGATCTCTTTCGGGCTCTGAGCGCGACCAACGCTGAGGGAAACATGTTCTTTTCCCCGTTGAGCATCAGCGCAGCGCTCAGCATGGTTTACTTAGGAGCCCGAGGAGACACAGCCAAAGAAATGGCAAAGGTATGATGTAGAGGAGAACAAGCAAGGGAACATAACACAACCCAAAACAAAGATAAAAAAAACTCCATGATTCAAAATGGGGTGAGGCACAGATGTCATAAGATTAAACACTTGCTGATTGTTTGGGCTTACAGAGATGCATTTATCATATTCTAACAATAGCACACAGTTATGCAATGGTTACCCAGTGAGTTTAAGTGGGGGATAAGAAATAGAGTTGAGAAATTTCTGTGTAGAGTTTCTTTGAATTATTATTATTATCCCTGTCATTTCTGTTCATCATTCATGGTGATGTGGCCATCTCATTACAGTTGGTAGAAGTATTTGTATAGTCACTGCAGTTACTTAATGACTGCATATTGGAAAATAGCAATGTTCTTTGCATGAACACAGCAGTGTCTATGCTGAATGCATATTGTCAATAAGATGTTTTAGTCTTTTAGAAAGTTGTTGAATATGCTTAGACTGCAATTTGCTTCAATACCGAATCCAAAGTATTAACTTTTATAGATTAACTAGATAGAGTAGAACATTTTTATGGCCAAAGAATGCATGCAGATTGTGAAACAACCAGTGAGCGATTGACTCAACAGGGGAAGAGGTGAAGTATGTAAACAAATGTAAACGAACGAGAACAACTGCTCTCTCACTCTCTACCAGTGGCTCTTTTAAGAAGCTGACATTTCAAGAAAATGCCTCAAAATACTAAATAAAAAAATTCTAAAATGGACCTAGAATAAAATGTTCCATACTGTAGCCACAAAGGCCAACTTGTGCCAACCCTGAGCATGTTGCATGTATTTGTTTTTATTACAGACTCATTTAGATAATACATTCTTGACATCGGACCTCAAACTTCAATGAAAATTATATGAAATCCTCGATTTAGTTTAATTCCTTGCAATAAATGTGCTCAGAACAGGCTCTTCAGTGCACTTCAGTCTTCCCACAGGCATGTTTTGTTTTTGTTTTGTATAAAAGAAAAATCTATGATAATATGCCAGTATTGTAAAATATTTGCAAAGCCTCTCCCGTCTAAACAAACACAGTTAATATACATGTGCTGAAAAACTTTTACACTCATACTATTGGCATATATCAATGCCAAAATTGTCTCTGTACAGGTTTTGTCCTTCAGTTCTGTCTCTGATGTTCACTCTCATTTTGAGACCCTCACCTCATCGATCAACAGTCCATCAGCCTCCTACATCCTTAAACTGGCCAACCGCCTCTATGGAGAGAAAACCTTCAGCTTCTTACCTGTGAGTCCATTCTGCCTTTAACAATGAGACATTTTGAGGCGAATCCAAGATGTAACATTTTGGCTCCATTATTGTTTAACTTTCTAATCTTGAGCTCCTTTTTGATGAATTTGTTGTCATGTGTCCTGCAGGAGTATTTGGACTCAACCCTGAAGCTGTACCACGCTGACCTTCAAGCTGTGGACTTCATTGGAGCATCGGACGAGTCAAGACAGCTCATTAACAAATGGGTGGAAGAGCAGACTGAGAGTGAGAAGAACAGTTATACAGTTCTATTTTTGATAAAATAATCCATTTGGACCTGTTGCTTGAAAACCTTTTTAAAAAGTCACAGATGTGAAGTCAGAAACACAAACTTGTGTTTTTCAGATAAAATCAGAGATCTTCTCAAACCAGGAATGGTGACTGGAATGACCAGACTAGCTCTGGTTAATGCCATCTACTTCAAAGGGAACTGGCTGCAGAGATTTAATGCTCAAGACACTAAAGAAATGCCATTTAAAATAAACCAGGTGCAATTATTATTTCTCACAGAAACATTTCTGTGCTGAATCACAATCCGAGTTTGCAAAAATATTATACAACTGCAATGGTACATCCTTAGACTTGACGTACTACATCATACCTACTTGACAGAGTCATATCCTTCCTGTTCACTCTTTCATTTGCACGTGTCTGTCTTGTATCAGAATGAGAGCCGACCAGTGCAAATGATGTACCAGAAGAAAAAGTTCCCCTTCAACTACATCTGCGAGCACCGCCTGCAAGTGCTGGAGTTGCCGTACGTAAAGGAGGAGCTCAGCATGTTGATTCTACTTCCTGAGGAAACTCAGGATGGCTCTGACCCTCTTCTTAAGGTTGGCAAAATGTTTTTGTACTGATCCTCTTGATTATATTTGGTATCTTCTATGTTCAGTGACTCAACAGTATTTGCATATGTGTTTGACAGCTGGAGAGTGAGTTGACCCTTGACAAGCTTCATGAATGGACCAACAGAAACAAAATGGACACCCAGACAGATATTATAGTCCATTTGCCAAAGTTCAAACTGGAGGTTGAGAGCTCCTTAGCAGAAACATTGATGGGGATGGGGATGGTTTCTGTCTTCCAGGATGGAAAGGCTGATCTAACAGGCATGAGCGGTCAGGGTGGCCTCTCCATTTCAGCGGTGGCCCACAAGGCATTTGTTGATGTGAATGAAGAAGGCACAGAGGCGGCAGCAGCTACAGCAGCCATTGTGGCCTTCTGTATGTTTCGAGAAGAGCACTTCATGGCAGATCACCCTTTCCTATTCTACATCAGGCACAACCCCACCAATAGCATCCTCTTCTTTGGCAGATTCAGAGGATCATCTTAAATTTGTGATGTTTTTCTTAACACCAAAATATAAACAATAAATACTATTATTAAATAATTCACATTTTGTGTGTTCGGTTTTAAGAAGAAGCACCACAACACAAAGATAATGGATTTACTTGGAATACAAACATGTTACACATTCCTTGTTCTCCTTTTAAATGTCATGTCATGAGCCACAGAACGTGATGGGAAATGTAGTTTTGTCGCGCAAGGCAAAATGTACACAAAACTGTTGGTCAAGACAACTAGTTTATGAATAATAATATCAATTAGCTTCCCGCCATGATTGTTTAATTGGCATAACCTCAACTTAGGGGGTAATAATAGGGTCCCAGATACGTATAAAAAAACAAGTTTTGACCACAGGTTGAATATAGAGGCACAGTTTATTAAGTTCACTCAAAAGACAAAAATACCAAAAATTCAGAACTATTTGTGTCCTTGTATGGTATTTTGACAGATATTTTATTTTTAAATGTAGGCCTTTTAAAGGCCTAAATGTAAAACTGAACAATATTCTGTGTGTGCACATTCCCTGAGCTGGAACATAAATTTCAGTTGATAATTTACTACTAATGCCTGTCTATATACCTATTAAGAAAGACATGTAACATATATTCTTCTTTCTAACTACAGCAGCCATATAGCAAGGCTATATTCAAATATGCAATCACATGAGTCAAAAAGAAGAACAGAAAAAAATGGGAACAGGGTTGGTTTTTGAAACTGGATTTGCAATATTTATGCATGTCTAATCAAATAACTTTCCAGAGTTTAGAAGGACTGTAAGACAGATGTGAATAAAAAGGAATTATGTGGAAGAGACACATGACTACAAACTTACAAAAGACACAGACATGTTTTTATGATCTAAACTCAGTCACAAAAGAAAAAGGTGAGCAGGGAGGTCCACGGTCACATGATCATGATCTAGGAGGATCCTGCAACGTCAGCCTCTATGGAAAATTATAACAGAAAGGCTTAAGATTTTGATTGCAGGTTGGTCGCAAACAAAAACTAGTTCAGAAAAAAAAAAAATCTTAAAGGTAACTGACCTGAATCATTTATCAATTCCATTTCAGAGAGAATCCCTTTCCATCCTTTGTGTTTCGGGAAATCCACGATCACATCATCAAATTTGATCTCTGGCCAGATCAGAGGACAAACCCACTTAAAATACATTCTTTTCCAAGAGCAACTCTATGTATACTAAATGTATAAATGTAAATGTATGTGGATATGTTAAAAATATGAAAGTTGTTTATATCTCCATTTTGTTCTGACTTTGATATTAATACACAGATCTTGCCTTTTACCACACCCACACTCGTGTGGGTGACATGTTCGCCCCAATTATGTTTTGGTGTAGTTATGGAAGGTTTCACTCTGACTTTGTCTCCAACCTTGATGTCGACTGAAACATTTTGTGTTGACAAATCTGAAATAAGTAAAATATTTCAGAAAGAAATTTCACTTACAAGTACAATGCAAACATTAGCATTGGAAGATTACCTGTACAAGAGCCAGTCACAATCTCCATTTCTGAAACTAAACCAGTCCAGTTTTTATGCTCAGGGAAATCTACAGTCAAAGATTCACCCTGAATTTCTGCAGAATTATAAAAAAATGATCAAAATCATCATCAGCTCCTAAAATATAATAGACAGTGAGCCTAAAAAAATATTTTAGTAAGAATCACAATGTTTTAAATATGCATGCATTAATGAATAAATAAAGACAGTCAGTGCACCTACTTTTAACAACACCAATGCTTTTGTGAGTGACTGCACCCCATTTGTGTGTTGGAGTAACAACAGACGGCTTCACGCGGACTTTGTCTCCAATGTTAATATTGGAATCCAGATTTGAAGATCCTGAAATACAAAGAGTGTTACGAGGGTCTGTCTGAGATGAGACTTAATAGCTGCTACTTACTCTTACTCACTGTTATGATACTGTGTATAATTACTACACAACTCATCATCTTTGGTTACTAGCTCCACCATTTCAGAGCACAATTCTGTCCAATTTGCATGTTTAGGGAAGTCAACAATCAGACCGTTATCACATTTGATGTCTAAACAGAGAACAAGTTCATATTGTAAAGCATTCACTTGGGTGAGAATTGCTTAATGATAAGATGATTTATTTGAGGGGAAATAAAGCAGGTCTTGCCTTATACCACACGAACATTTTTATGTGACAAAAGGGTTGGCAATATGACCAAAATCATATATCACAATATGAGTAAGTTTATTTTCATGATAACAATATACTGTTTATAACAATATATATATATATATATATATATATATATGCTTTGAATAAGGTTATGATATAATTTTCTTTTGATACTATTGAAATTTCATAATTCTTGTCACCAATTTCAATATCACAAGAAAACTAAAAAAAAGCACTTATCAAAGCTTATGTTAATGTCACAGTAGACATATTTCAGGGCACAACACAAAGTTTTAAGCAGCAGCGAAGAAAATGTTGGCAGTTATTTGAATGACAATGGATTACCTGAATCAGCACCGGCCACAATCTCCATTTCTGAAACTAAACCAGTCCAGTTTTTTTGCTCAGGGAAATCCACAGTCAAAGACTCACCCTGAATTTCTGCAAACATAAAACAAATCATCAATATAAAGTATTCTGCTTTTTCTCTCTCTTTCAGTGAGCCTACCATAATTTATTACCCCATTCATAATTTTCAGACATTTGCCTGACTAATATAAGTGATGAAAGCAATGTCATTCAATGCTCTTACTTTTAACAACACCAATGCTTTTGTGAGTGACTGCTCCCCATTTGTGTGTTGGAGTAACAACAGACGGCTTCACCCGGACTTTGTCTCCAATCTTAATATTGGACTCCAGACTTGAAGGTCCTGAAATGTCACATGGAGGTCTGAGATGAGTGTTTGATGAAAGAATATAATAGATTATTCTTATCTTACTTTTATTTACCATTCTCTTCATCATTAGTTACTCGCTCAATTTCAGAAAGAATTCCTTTCCAATTTGCATGTCCAGGGAAGTCAACAACCAGACTGTCATCATCTTTAATGTCTAAACAGAACAAATTCATATTGTAACACTTGTACTGGAGTGAGGATTTTTTGATAATGAATGATTTGTGTAAGGAAATTGTGCAGCTCTTGCCTTTTACCACACCCACACTCTTATGTGTGACGTTTCTACCCCAGTTATGTTTTGGGGTAGTAATGGAGGGTTTTACTCTGACTCTGTCTCCAACCTTGATGTCGACTGAAGCGTTCATTGTTAACAAATCTAAAACAATAATATTCTTAATATTAATAACTGTAATATTCTAACAGTTTGATTTTCTACATGTTTCTGCATGCTTTTGTGTCATGAATACAGTAGATTACCTGAACCAGCACTGGTCACATGCTCCATTTCTGAAACTACACCAGTCCAGTTTTTTTGTTCAGGGAAATCCACAGTCAAAAACTTGCCCTGGATTTCTGCAGAAGTAAAAACAACAACAACAAAAATAATGAATATACACTATGTCCCATTTTCTCACTCTAGACTGTAGTACTATGGGTATTCAGTGAGACTACAACATATATTTTCATTATATCACTTATTATACAAATGACAGAATCTTCATGCCTAATGTAAATTATCAGATAAATATCACCCAATGCTCTCACTTTTAACAATCCCAATGCTACTATGAGTAACCGATCCCCATTTGTGTGTTGGGATAACAACAGATGGCTTCACGCGGACTGTGTCTCCAACTTTAATGTCAAATGGAGGACTCTTTGTTGGCAAATCTGAAACTGAAAGAAAAAGATTACAGAAAACATTTCATCACTCATAAGAACAATTAGATGCAAGAAATCATGAAATCAATTTATTAATTAAAACATTTACCGTTATTAATTGTTTTTTTTGTTTCCTGCATACAAGTAGTTTCCAGTCTTTTAGCAAGTTCCCATACAAATTTGCTTATGTCCTCAAAAGAGCAGCACGGCTGAAATGAGAGACTGGGAAACTCATCAGAGCCAGATGAAGAGGACATAGACTCATAATTCTGTGGGGGGGGAAAATATATTTAAAAAACTAATATAACTTTCAGAAAAACTGGCAAGTCACATTTTTTATAAATGACAAATATTTGAATAGTCTTTTATGTCTGAATAAATAATCACATTGCTTATGGTGGTTGTACCTGAAGAAAGTGGATGCTGTCATCTGTCTGTAGAAGTGTCTCTAGGACTCCTTCCCTCTTCTTCAGCTCAGTAATTTCCCCTTCAAGTTTCTCTTGTAGTTTTTCACCTTGGTCCAGATCAGCCTTTTCTTGAGCTTTTATCTTTTCAATCACTTCATTACTTCTTTTCTCAATAAATTTGGCCAATTCAGTAAAGGCTCTTGTACTGTTTTTCACAGCCTCCTTTGCAGAAGCCTGAGGAGAACCAAAGCAAAACGAAATATTTTCTCTTAAATGTTGTTAACAAGTACAAGATCCATCAACCCAGTAATTAACCCTTGTGTCAGCTGATTAATGAATCGTTCAGGTAAAATGTTAAAGTTACTTGCACCAGCTCAGCAACTCACTGAATGGGATGTGATGTCCATTTTCATCTTCTGCAGCTCTTTCTCTTTTGCATGGATTGTCTGCTTGACTTTTGTCTGAGTGTCTGTGAGTTTCATCTAAGGACAAATCCATCACAGTCTGTTTAATCTCACTGAAAACATTTGTAAGTAGCATTTTATAATTAGGTTAAGAAAGAAAAAAATGATGGACATCTTCACCTGTTTCTCACCACGCTCTATTGTAGATGGCACTGTGTCGTGGCCTTTATGGTCATCCATTAAACAGTGCATGCAGACACAAACCTGGTCTGTTCTACAGTAAACCTCAAGGAGCTTGTCATGTTTGGAGCATATTGGTATGACGGTAGCTTTCACCAGCTTGTGTTTCTTCAGGGCTGGAACATTATAGTGTGGGTTTACGTGTGTCTCACAGTAAGAGGCTCGACACTCCAGACAAGACTTGACAGCTTTGAAAACTTCTCCAGCACAGAAATCACATGAAATCTCTCCAGGTCCGGCAAGACTTCGAGCGGCCTCTGACTCATGTAGCTTTGTTCGTAGCAGTTTCTCCATTATGTCAGCAAGTATTGTATTTTTGTTGAGTGGAGGCTTTGAATCGAAGGCATGTCTGCACTGTGGACATTTGTAGGTACCTTTATTATCCGCTGTACTCCAGCATTCGTTAATACAGCTCGTACAGTAACTGTGTCCACAAGGAATCGTCACGGGATCGTTCAGCAAGTCCAAACATATCGAGCAGCTGTACTGGTCGTGATCTCCAAGTATAGCCTCTGCCATTTTGCCAACAACCCTTTGCCACCGCAAAAGATGTGTCTTGATGTTGTCGATTCAAAAATGGGTGTTTATCAAAGACCGACTCAAGTTAGCAAAGCTGCGTTGTGAAATCTAAAAAGAGAGAGTGAAAGTGAAAGTAAAGAATTGGTGTAACAAGTAGGCTACCGTGATTAAAATAAAAATCTTGAAAGAGCTTACACAAACAACACAAATGCAGTTTAAAGAATTGGAAAAAATAAATAAGAATTTACCTGATGACAATCCGTCGTGTGCTTCATAGTATGGTGTCAGGAAGCGTTCAAAGAATTCTGACCTTTGGTCTTGTTTGTTGAAAGTGCACGTTGGTCACAATTTTATTGCGTATGAAATGTATTATTTAGAAATAGTCTTACTTCAGACATAAAAATTAAGAAAGTAAAAACTCGTTAAAAGCGAAATCTAAGATTTGAGGATAGGCCTTTTGTGTAAACGTAAGACTACGAGTGCGTGTTCTATGGTGTGTTGGTTTCCCTTCTCCAGAACCACTAGATGGAGACACCGAATTGAAAATATTGAATCTAGATTCGGTTTTAATCTGTTATGTGAGAATAAAGTTCTTCTTTTAGAGTATGTAACCGAGATTTTTTAGCATTGTTTACGTAAGAAGAAACATTAAACCGTAATCCTTATCATTATCACTTAATTAGCTATCAACATTGATCATGAGACAAATTCTCTCCAAGATTCAACGTTTTCTAAAAAGGCTCTTCAGAAATGTTGGACTAAACCGCTCGATTCATATGGATTCGTTTTTCTACCGTCAAAGTGGTATAGTTGCGTAGTTGCCAATGAATGGAGGGATAGAAATCGCTCATGATTTCAAGAACTTAATTTGTCTTCCGAAGATGAATGAAAGTCTTACAGGTTTGAAAAGACATGAGGGTGGGAAATTGAGGTTTAATTTTAATTTTTAGATGAACTATCCCTCACTGTTTAAAAGTGTCACTGAGGAACACAAATACTTTCCAGTGCCCCTGCCAAATTAACTAAATACATGTATTTTTGTACTTTTAGTTTTAATTCACAGTTGGGGCATTATTTCCATTAGCATTTGGTCAAAATTATGTGCAGAATTTCTATACTATCATTTGAAAAACAGTTAACTTCATCCTTACAGTAGCAGAACTGTAAAAGTGAATGTAGGCCTATAATATATTGAAAATATGTGGTAAAAAAAAAATCCATTTTAAACTTTACTATATAAAAGCCTTACTATATAGCCTACACTCACTTAAGGATTATTAGGAACACCTAATAATGCAATTATCTAATCAACTAATCACATGGTAGTTGCTTCAATGCATTTGGGGGTGTGGTCCTGGTCAAGACAATCTCCTGAACTCCAAACTGAATGTCAGAATGGGAAAGAACGGTGATTTAAGCAATAGGCTATATGCACGCAGAGAGAAAAACTAGAAAAACGGGATTATGGCAGTCTTCAAAATTTACTGTCCTCCCGTCTTTGAAATGAAACTTTAATACGTTTAGATGTGATTTTATATATAGTTATGTTTATTTAATATAATAAACAAAGATGCATAAACCAAATTAGGGGTGTCTGTTTTGTCTGTTTTTGTGACTAACATTTCTTTAGTATAGCCATAAAGTATAAAAACAAATATAAATTCTTGGTATAGCATTGGACTCTACGATTGGCGGAAGTAATCCAGCATCCTTAGACCTTCACCGGAATTACCACCGTGCATAGAAGCATGCAAGAGATTTTGGATCTGCTCAGTTACTGGGATTTTCACACACAACCATTTCTAGGGTTTACAAAGAATGGTGTGGAAAGGGAAAAACATCCATTGTGCGGCAGTCCTGTGGGCGAGGTCAGAGGAAAATGGGTCGACTAATTCAGGCTGATAGAAGAGCAACTTTGGCTGAAATAACCACTCGTTACAACCAAGGTACGCAGCAACCTTGAGGCGGATGCAGAAGACCACACCGGGCACTCATCTCCACTAAACAGGAAAAAAAGAGGCTACAATTGCAAGAGCTCACAATTGGACAGTTGAAGACTGGAAAATGTTGCCTGGTCTGATGAGTCTTGATTTCTGTTGAGACATTCAGATGGCACAGTCAGAATTTGGCATAAACAGAATGAGAACATGGATCCATCATGTCTTGTTACCACTGTGCAGGCTGGTGGTGGTGGTGTAATTGGTGTGGGGGATGTTTTCTTTGGCACACTTTAGGCCCCTTAGTGCCAATTGGGCATTGTTTAAATGAAACCGGCCTGAACCTAAGCACTGTTTCTGACCATGTCCATCCCTTTATGGCCACCATGTACCCATCCTTTGATGGCTATGTCCAGCAGGAGGATAATAAACCACAAAGCTCGAATCATTTCAAATTGGTTTCTTGAACATGACAATGAGTTCACTGTACTAAAATGGCCTCCACACAGTCACCAGATCTCAACCCAATAGAGCAACTTTGGGTTGTGGTGGAACAGGAGCTTCGTGCCCTGGATGTGCATCCCACAAATCTCCATCAACTGCAAGATGCTATCCTATCAATATGGGCCAACATTTCTAAAGAATGCTTTCAGCACCTTGTTGAATCAATGCCACATAGAACTAAGGCAGTTCTGAAGGAGAAAGGGGATCAAACACAGCATTAGTATGGTGTTCCTAATAATCCTTTAGGTGAGTGTATATTATATAATAGGTTTATCTTTTATTTTATTTACTTAAATCATTCGAATTGACAAAGGGCAGTGACACAGTGACATTTTGTTTAGTTTTTTTTTTGTTTTGTTTTTTTAGCTTTAGTTTATTTGCACACATAAAATACAAGAAAAAAACAGTTACAATGCAGCAATAAAATGAGCATTTAATATAACATTTTAAAGAAGAATATTTTCTTGCTAGATGGGATAAACCATTCCACAATTAAATGTTCCTAAATCTTATTGAGTATTGACTTCTAATGAGAAATTTAGGAAGATGTGAACCTTTGAATTTACTATAAAATAATTCTGAAATTGCTCTGGAATGAAACCTTCACTTGAATATATTTTAGAAATGAAAACACATATTCGAGAAACATAAGTTTTTTGAAGTATACTAAGAAAAGTGCTCACCCTATATGTATAATTAAACTATAGTAAGAAGACAAGACGCCTAACACTCTCTTTCTATACCAGTAAATGTATGTATTTTTCTGCTCAGCTAGTAATCTTGTTCCCTCCAACTCAGGCTCTCATCAACAAAAACTCCCAGTAATGTTGTAGTAGACATTTGAGGCACCTCAATAGACTCAATTGTAAGTTTTTTGTAAAAAAAAAATTAATTCGAGTTTTTTTTAGATTTAAAACCAAATTTAAACCAATTATATAGCATAAGTAATAAGACCATCATTTACATTCTTAACCAATTAATTAAAATTTGAGAGAGAGCTAAGGTTGTGTCATCGACAAACATTGTAGTAAGTATATTTGAAACATTATATAAATAATTTATATAATATTGATGAAGATGATGATTATGCAATGTTGCTTGGTAGTTTCTTTTTGTAACCCAGGCAAGTAGTAATACTGCATAAAAATGTATTGAAAAAATATATACAAAAAATAATAGATATGGTCTAGATATGGGACCAATAAATAACTCAGTGTGTCGTTTGTGAAATCATAAATTCGTGCTTGTTCATTTGATTTTTAAGATTCCTCAAAAACAAGATGAGCATTGTTGAAGTTGGGGCCCATGGGTAGAATCACAGACGCTTTTGTTTGGGTCTCCCCGTTCTTGCGATGGCCTGCTGTCGATCAAGATGCAAAAGCGTCCGCCCCCATCGGCCCTTTCACTGCTGCAGCTGGCTGCCTCTTGCTGTTTGCCGTATGCTATGCTCACTGCAATCTGTGCTGGTGAGGCCGAAGGAGCTGCAGCTTCAGTATTAAACCAGGCCAACGAAACGCTTATGACGCTCGCCACCAAAAAAACACGAGGTAAGTCTTGACCTACTGGGATGTGCGATTTAAATAAAATATATATTATGTAGTCGCGCCGCTTTAGAAGATCTCGATCCGCGATGGTTAAATGCGCGGTCGATTTCGAAAAGCGGCATGTTTGCGGAAGTGACCGTGCGGTCCATGTTTAGCCGCCCCTGTTATTTGCCTTTACATGTCATGTGTGTTTTCGAAGTATATATTTCACTCTCATGTGCATTTTGTCGACACGGTAAACGTGTGGAAAAGTTGAAGATGCTGTTTGGGTTGGTCGTAAACGAGGCGAAGTTGACTAGCCAGCGGACCCGTTTGAAAAATCAAAATGGCTTCCATCTTTGTCGTCTCAGCAGAGAGGTTTATACCTTTGTTTCCCCGTCTCGCATGTCAGGGAGTCTGTGAGTAACCTCCTTTTTACATACATCTAGTGGATTATTGTTTATCGAATCTTCGTATTAAGAGTTTGGGTGTTTATTTCACTGGTTTTTTATTTATTTTGTTACTTACCCAGTAGCGCACTTTTGACCACGTCAGTACGGTGGGGGAGGGGAAGTGAGTCTGTCTGGGTGGAGCCTGTATGATACGTTCACTGTGGATGAAATACATTTCCCCCTTCGCTGTAAGTTTGATGTAGCTTAGACTCCAGCTACTGGAAGCTACTATATATATTTTTTTTAAATTAATTTTGTGTCACAACTTGCAATGTAGAATAAGTATGTCAGTTCTGTAGAATACCTTAACTCTTATAGCCTACCTATGGGCAAATGAAGATCTCCTGAAAATCTTTCTAGATATAGAGTGCAGCAGGGATAACATATTTTTGTAGGCCAGCCCAGAAGTTAGCTTCACCCTGTACAATTGCCAAAAAAAAACATGTAGAATTTTTACATTGACATTTAGATCATTGCAAAAAGAAAAACAAACTTTGTAATGAACAAAATGTAATGCTTCTTCTCACCAGTTTTGTTCATCATAATCATCACAAATAAAAACAACTTTTATGAATTGTGATGCCTAAATGCAATTGACAGAAGTAAAAAAGTTACTATAAACAAACTATACCATGGTTATTTGACTTTAGCGTCACCATCACTGGGTTTCCATCAATCATTCTTTAAAGAATGATACATTTGGAAATTTTGAGGGAGAATAGTATAAATACAATGAGGCTGTAAAAGCCTGTTATTTAATAAAACATTAATGAAAATATCTTGTGTTTTTTTGATCAGACTTTATTTTTTAGGTATTTATCGAAAAACCTATTGAATTTGGGATGATGAAATCAGAGGTTAAAAAATGCTAACTTGTTTCTGGGTTTTAGGACTCATTCCTGCAGCACTCTCTATTACATATAAACAGAATACAGTGCTGGTGTACGAAATGTTGGTTGTAGTTTTAGTTGCAGTGGATGTGTGTCAGCTTGCACTCTGGTCTTTTTTCAACAGTGCTGGGATGTCACCCATGCTTCAGGTAGGCAAACCACCATGCCATTAATATCTGGTTAACAATGTGGTTATGGGTTTAAAGTTCTTGTGTGTGATCTTGGTAACTGTCAAGCAAATCATCTCCATTATGTTAAGTCATCCCTCTTAACATGAAATGACTTTGCAATTTATGTGGTGGATTTTTGTGTGTGCTTGCACTCAATGAATTTGTTGGTTTGCTTGTTTTGCATAGAGTTTGATGTGTAAAATGTAACTCATTACCATTGTTTAGCTTTCGTCTTTATGTCTTCCCTACCTCTCACCTACCCACCAGTATCTGACAAAGTAGCTGATCAGAGGTCCCTGTGCCCCCTCACTTCTTCTCCCTACATGCATACACACATGCTCACAAACACTCAGTCGGTCAAGAGCTGGTGTAATGACAGATAATGTGCTTTGTCATGCTGGTTGGTGTGATGTGTTTTTCCTATACTGGATGCATGTTTGTTACTTTTAGGCTCCTGTAACCCTGGTTGGCTGGCCACGGAGACAGGGACTCCTCGTCTCAGTACTGTGGCTCTCCACATTAGACTTTCTGTTTGGGGTATATACTTTCACCTCCATTTTTATTCATATTCAAAGGCTTGATTCATATTTCCAACATTTTGTTTTAGCTAAATCTAGTGTAGATTACTTTCTACTTTAAAAAGAAAAAAGATCCTCATCATGAGCAAATATATCTACATTACAAAATGCATTTTTCATGCTTAAGGTGGCTGTGGATTGACCATGAATGTAAGATGTGATCTGTGGCCTCAAAAATATTCTTAATGTAGGAGTTTGTTGCATTTGAATTAATTTTAAATTAGACTAAAGTATTTAGTTGATCCATAGTTTATTAGGCTCTACTCACCAAGATACAGTATTTCATTTAGAATAGAATTTATTATTCTAATTCTAAGTAATTAAATAACCACCATACATTATTTAATTATCCATTTTATATATATATTATTATGTGGTTAATTTATATATACTCAACATATATGTTTATACTATTTAGGTGTTCTGAGTGAATATTTTCACTTTGGATTTGTTCATATTTTTTTGTTAGGTTGAATTAACTTAACTGCATTTTCATAAAATGATGCTTCTTGAATGTATCCTTTTATCATCGACATTTCTTTTAGTTAGAGTTGTCAAAAAGTATCGGCTTCAGTACCAAGTCTCTACTGAAATTAAAAAATTGTGGCGCTGTTGAGCAGAATCATAAATGCCTCTGATTGGCCATTGTGTTCATGCGCTCATCAGATATGTCTGATTGGCTGCAATGTTTACGGCACATGAGTGCTTAAGAGCACACAGAAGTGTTTGAAAGGTTTTTTTTTTAACTTTTAAACGCTCCCGTCTGTAATGTGTAAGCACTCAGCGTCATTGATGTATATTTACAACTTGTTTTTGAAGCGCTGATCATGGTAGCCAATTACAGACATATCTGATGAGCATGTGAGTACAGTGGGCAATCAGAGGTGTTTAGGATTCCTCTCAACAGCGCTCAGTGTCAAATTTTTTAAATTTTAGTACTAAAGTCGTTACTGTTTGACAACTCCACTATTGGTTTTATATTCTAGTTCTGATTTTGTCAGGATTGACTTGATTCCCTAAACAGGAGTGGATGAATTTGAACTGACCATCACTCTCCTGTTTTTTTGTGTTTTTTTTGTGTGTCTTTTGTCTGTAGGCTAAACATGTTCTCCAAGGGCACCAAGCGTAAATTTTCCGATGGTGGTGAAGAGATTTCCGACGAAGGCCTGGTTGGTGCCAGGGTGGCATCCTCGTACAGCTTGCAGCGGCAGTCGCTGCTGGACATGTCCCTCATTAAGCTGCAGTTATGCCACATGCTGGTGGAGCCCAACCTCTGCCGCTCGGTTCTCATTGCCAACACGGTCAGGCAGATTCAGGAGGAGATGACCCATGATGGCAGCTGGCATATGGTCACTGAAGCATTCTGCAGTGCAGGCCAGAGCCCCTCTGAGCGTTTGGTGGCCACTGAGGTCCTTTGCAGGTCACGGGAGCAGGATGCAGAACCTAAGGTCTTTTCTGTCATCAGCTACGAAGGTTGCCGTGAAGAGGAGGTGGTGGCTGATGAAACACTGTGCTCCGTTTCGGTTAGAGATACTGTTTCTAATGTCTACCTGGCAGGGCGTATGGGCCAGTGCTGGGAGAAGAATGAGCTCAGTGGCATAGAGAGTGATGAAGAGGTCCTTGAAGACTCTAGACTTGGTTCAGGAGAAGATGAGGAGATCGACACGGAGGATGAGGCTTCCACTGAGGGTCCAAAGACCATTGGACAAGTTTTTGGGACATTTGAAATAAAAAACGGTTCACCGGGTCCAGACTCTGCTCTTGAGGAGCTTTTCTCCGATGTGGACACCTCCTATTATGATCTGGACACCATGCTGACTGGCATGCAGAGTGCACCCAAGATGGGCCCTTATGACCTCCTTGACAGCTTGGGACCTTCACATGGTTCCCCTTCCATAGTGTCAACACCGAACTGTCGTTCTGATCTCAATGAACTGGATCACATCATGGAAATCATTGTGGGTTCATAGGTTAGACCTTACTCAGAGACTTACACGCTTGTCTTAATGTTAAATGGCTTTTCTGTTCCTTATGGAATGCAAGTAAAGTCTAGAGTCCTTTCAGGGAAAAGAGTTGATGTCTTGTGAAGGATGGCTTGATTTTATGAGCTGACCATAGTCATATTATTTGCATACCCTTTGTATGTTTTAATCATTTTTTTCTGTATTTGTCTGTCCAGACATGGTGGGTTTTTTTTATTTTATTTTATTTTTTTATTTATTTGTTATACTCATGACACTACAGAGAGCAGAACAAGATGTATACAAACATTGTAAAGGTTGGGATATTTTCATAAGAAGACAAAAGATTGTCTAAAATGTGTACATAAATATATATTTTTTACAATAGATTCTTCTTGTAATATGTTACTGTACATTATGTACATGTTCTGCAGATTGATTTTAAACGAAGAGATTAGATTCTTATGTGAAACAACTTTTCTGTTGATCAAAATCCATAAACTGAAGGAACTTAATTCAATACAACAGTATGCAAAAAAGCACCAAATATACATACAATGATGCATGTTTTACATTTATGTGCTTGTTTGCACAAAGTATTTTTTTTCCTCTCAAGGTTTTATTACAGTTGGCTGTCAATCAGCTCAGCCGTAGGTTTTGTTTGTTGTCAGACGTCAATGTTCTTATATTTTGTCTAATCAACAAATTAAGTATAATGGGGCCAACCCATTCTATGTTGTGACTTAATTTATTTAATTTATTTACTGCAAACGGTGAGTATTGGCTGTGGTCAAACTCAGGGTGGCTTTTTAACTCTAGGGGACTGATTGACCAAAGCCTTTTGCTTATAGTAAATCGGTCACAGAATTAGTGCTTTGTAAGTTGATTTGCACCAATCATTGGTTTAAGTATTGATTTTAAGCAAGTTGACTGTTTTAATATGGGTGAATGGCTATTAGTCCTCTAGACCCCTCATAATGAGAAGACATTTGTCTAGTTCTATGCATTGAGTGTCATAACACTTTCTATGTATGAAGTGTTTAAAATGCATTTAGTACAGTATTTTTTTTATACTTCAGAATCAGTCAACAAGAGATGGTTTTATTTTACACAACATTTTCCCGTTGTTACATATATTATATGGTTTTGCATAAACTATGTTTGTGCAAATTATAGGTTATTACATTTTGATAATTGTTTTCTTCTACATTGTGTCTCATTTAAATTCTAAGAGGATTTTTTATTGTATGATTTTAAACTAGTATAGAGTATACACATTTTATATGAGCATTGTAGCTTTTTTAACGTTTTTTAATAAAAGGTACATCTTATGAAAACAATTCAGTGTGTTTTTCTTAATAGTGAAACTATTAATCTGTTACCGACGTCTGTAGATGAACACAGAGAGTTTAAGTGGCAAGATTACCCATAACTGAGTTGAGTATAAAGTGATGACATGGTTTTCGTGTCGATTTATTTTTCTAAACTGGTTTGAATGTTTTCATGTAACGGAGAATTGACTTGATTATTAATTGCTACTGCTAGTAATGTCAGGAAAACAAAAACGTGTATGGTGTATGCGTAAAACTTCCAGTTTTATCAGAGACAACATTTTATACAGTAATATACAGTATACAGTAACCTCCATATTCCATTCCTAAAAATAAACGTCAGAGTTTTATTCTGTACGGAGTGAATTCTGACGCAAATGACGTCTGCAGATTTGACTCGGTGAACGTCAATGTTTAAATCCCTCCGCTCTCTCGCGCATAGGTTGTATGTCAGAAATTGTTGTATTATCCAAACCCCGTGTGAGATTTTTTTACCTAATGTTTCAGATTCAACTAAAATAAATCAGCTTTACCATACATCATGTAGAGAAATTCAACAAAAAAATATAGTTGTCATGATCTATATTATTCAGACAGTTTTCCTAAAATATATATGGTTTGCTTGGCCAAAAAAAAGGAAATGGAAAGCCACAAACGTGACATTTACAATGCAGATGTACCATATCCAGTAGCCAATGCTCCAAACAGTCACGTTTTCGGTCTGTGGGCAAGTATGAGGGACTAATGTGATAGACTAGATAGGTGGGGGCAGAACATACGTTCCACCAATCAGGGGCAGTTACTAGGCGGGACTGAGGTCGCGTTCGACCAATCACAGCCATGCCACCTGACGACCGTCAATCAGCTGAGTTCTTTTCCCGTTGATTCTACAGTAGATCGAGAGTTCGGCTCTCGTGCCTGCGCGGTCGGACGCGTAGTTTTGCGCAAAATAATGTTCAGACTTTGGACCAGAAGCTCAACGCGGAGTTCAGCGACCGATTTAAGCAAACGTACATCTTATTTTTATCAGCAAAGAGAATGTAGCGGACGCTCGAGTAACTCGTGTAAATTAATTTCGTAGTTCCATATAGACAGAGACCGTACTTTGCCAAGTACGAACTAGCTAACTGGCTAATTCCCTGCGCATCACTGTGAGCTTAGCCACGGAGGCTAGCAGTGCGCGCCCACGTCTTGCGAGAGTTTTTGGTTGTAATAAACGCTTAACAACGAAGCAACTGGTTGAACCAAACATAATGGTATGGGTCAAAGGGATATCAAAGCGTTCGAGGCGTCCATGAAAAGAAAAAACGGCATTCCTACTGTATCTATGTGTCGACTGGATGTGGAGTCCCCTGTTGTGAAGAAGGAAGTTGAGCCCGGCGGAGATGGTGGTGTCCTTTCCTCGTCAAGGTAAAGACTTGTAACATTAGTCATAAACTGTTTTCTGAATGACACTTGATTCTGGTCGGCGATCTTTTAGGTATCATTTTGTTTTTGCAAATTATGTTTATATATAAGCACTGATCAGCACTGTCTCGCTTTACGTAACAACTCGAGGTTGTGTTGATGATGATACTTGAGCTTTGAGTAGTTAAAGAGCTCCATTAACGTTACTGACTAACGTTAGTTTATTTACAACCGGAGGACTTCTAGCAAAATTATTGTTTTATGCTAGACCGCTGTGAACATATAACACAACTTTTGTGCTAAGTTACCTCCCGCTTTCTCTCTCCTGTTAGTCGTAACGTTACGTGGTTTCGGTTGCGTAACGGGATCGATTTTTCCTCACTGATATTTGGACCCGACTAACGTTCAGTCGAAATGTGACAGAACAATTTTCTTTTTCTAACTTATTATTAAAGAATAAAATATCCGTACGATTTTTTTCAGATGCATTTTCGTAAACCTGTATAACTGAAGTAAAAGCGAAAGTCAAGAATACATGAATGCAAATCAAGTGTTTTCGGTTTTACCAAAATTCTTATTATTCGAATGAATGTGTTATTTTACATTAATTTTTAAGGAGTAATTATGTGTTTCATACTGTGTTATAAACGTATAATGCAGTTTCAGATATCTTTCGGAAAGTGAACGCCATAGTAAATTTATTAAAATCCGTCTGAATCTCTTTCTAGAATTTTCAAGATACACCGTAACACCGTTGATAAATACAAGCGTGCTGTATATGAGCGTCTGTTCACGTCTGTCAGCGGGACTAGCACCCTGAGTCACTTTATCAGTCTGTTGGAGCCGCCTAGTTACAAACAAAGCTGCCCAAACTAAGACATCCGGCTTGTGTACCCAATGGTTCATTATTCAAGACTTAGTCTTCTTGTCAATGGCATTTGCCACCTACTTCCTCCCTCCTACTCAGTCAACCCCCTGTGCACTTACTTAGTTTTCAATTCAATCCATCGTTCTCCTCCCTCTTTCTCTCTGACCAACCTTTCTTGACTCTCCTGCTTGCTCTGCCTTACATACACCTTCTCTTTTTTTATTCACTTGCTCCTTTTTTTTTTTCTTTAAGAATTTCCTGCTCTCATCTTTATCGTTACTGCATCTAATGGGGCAGTGGGAGGGCCAAGGGAGTGAAACTGAAAGAGAAAAAGTTTGTAAAAAAAAAAAAGACAACCATATCAGTTTGATTTGCTCTTGTACATAAAGTATCACAATGCAAACCAGTATACGAGTTAAAGAAACTCTTTATCTTGAGCTCAGAGTGGTCTTCAGTTCATTCATTTATTTATTTTAGGTAAACCGCAAGTCCTTATCTCTGAAACTGTTGTATCTCTATGGTTTGTTTGGCAGTATACAGTTCACTTCTCAGATGTTCAGCCTCTTTTGCGCGTTCCACAATCAGTATGAAAACTAACTTGACGTTCTATAAAACACTGAATATTCTCTGTTTGACTCGCCATCATTATACAAGAAAGTAAAGTCTGTTATTGAGACTGTGCTTCACACAGTAACATTTCATCAATACATTAAGGACAACATAATTGTTGTTAAAAGTTTTATTCAATAATAATAATTCATTAAAAAATAAAAATAATATTGAGTTTTACTTATTATGAACAAATAATGATCATGGTTATTACTGCAGAATTATGAAAAATTAGTTCAGCATTTTGGTTATTAGGCATATAAAAGAATTCAGTATCTCTGTTTCAATGTATTGTGTTGTCATAGTGGGACTTCCATGGTGGGCCTCACTTCTGATTCACCACTAGGTGTGAAAAAAATATTAAAGTCTGAAGTACCATCATGTATTATTTGTGCAGACCTAAACTGATGCAATCCAACATATTTTGCTGCAATGCTCCTTCTATGGATCCTATTGTGGTCACCCACTTTGATGGTTGTCTCTGTAGTTGTGCTTATTGTCTTTGAGCTGCAGAGTCTGTGTGCCACTCAAGCGCCAGTCTCTCATCCACTGCTGTTGCCATGGTAAGCGGACCACAGAGGCCCGTCTAACCAGAGGGGCCCAATTTAAATCATGTCTTGCTGCTTTAAAGCTGCGAGACTTTATAGAGACCAGGTCAAATTCCAAGTTGTTCAGTTGCCTTCTTTAAAGAGGCTTTATAAATCAAATTTGACTGTGCAAGTAAAGGATCAGTCATTTAAACCTTTTTAAAATCTTTAAATTTGTATTATAACATTCTAATTGGTTATATTGTTTTTGCATGGAGGTGGTTTGCTCGCTCACATTTCATTTCTAGCTTTTTGTGGCAGATGTGACGTGAGACGTGTGTGCTCCTGCCGGAATTCAGCTGTGAAATCTGCAGGAATACAAAATGTCCCTTTTGAAGCCTTGTGACTACTTTGTGAAAGGCACTTATAGGACTGAGCAAGAATTTAGCCCAGAGTGCTCTGCTAGCATGGGTGGTTATATAACTGCTAGCCACAGCGTGACACACTTGAACGCTGCAGTCCATGCATGCGCCACACATGCTCGGGCTGTTTCTGAGCTTTAAAAGTGTTTAATCAAACTTGCTCTAATAACAAATGGTTTAAGTTGTTCTTTAAATAAAATTTGATTCTTCCTTGTCTTAATGCCTCATTTAAGGTTCACGACTGATTGTTCACGTCGCTGTATCTATTATCTAAACTAAGAATTCAGGCTGCATATTTTTCTACATGATGGGATGGAGACTTCACAGTATTAATGCATTGCATCCATCTCACTTCTAAACACAAAAGGCTCTTCTTGGCTCTTGCAGCTTCCTGCGCACCCTGCAGTAGAGAGAAGAGCAGTCAGTGACCAGACCTGCGGGGGATGTCTGCCTTCGTTCAGAGTGATGGATGTAGAGAGGGGGGCGCCTACACAACAGAGAGCGCAGAGGTGGATAGACCGTCTCTCACATTTACAGCCCTTTCCACTCAAACTCCAGCACATTAGATCCGAGGCGGCTATCTGACAGAGCAGTTATGGTGCGGATTCAAATCGCGTGCCCACAAGCCACATTTCGCTCTTCTTTGTGCATGCATGTTTAGCTCAAACAAAAATTGTGGCTTGGAATAAGTAGCTTTGAGCTTTGAACTGAAAAATTGGGGCAACAATGTTCTTTTAGATTATTCAAATATTTCTGACACTTGTAGAGAAAAACTCTTCTTTTAAGAGTTATTCACTGAAATGTTCCTCAATAGCACAAAAATGGCTCTTCTATGGCATCGCTGTGAAACACCCTTTTTGGGATGTTGGTTTTTAAGAATGTATTAGACTTGGAGGTCTTTGCTTGTAAGTATCGCTCACAGGATAGAAGGCTTTGGAGAGCTGCAGCAGGAAGCATTGCGCTCCTGTGCTGCGTATCCTCCTCCGCTGTGTGAAGGGAGCGCTAATGAAGCATGATCTTATTCTCAAGTGTACTGCAGTCGCAGACAGGAGGAGCTTCAGCTAATGCACCCACCTCTCTTGAAGCCCCGCTCTGGGATGAGGAGCTGTGTCGGGTTAAAGCTTTGTTATCAGTCGAGTTTCAGATAAGTCAAATTTCAAGGCAAAAGAGTTCTGTCAAGGACAGAGTTCAACAATGGTCTGTTTGCACTGATGGCTGTCATGGTGCTGTTACATCAGTTGGTTTATTATCATGCAAAGTTAATAACTGGAGAGAACTGAAACAGTATAACATGGGAGCATTCTTAGAAAGGTCCTAGATCATGTGTAGTTACAGAAATTACAAATTTCAAAACTTAAATGTTTTATGGAGATTTTATCTACTGAAAGTTATTAAGGCTAAGGTATCTGAACTTTTTTAATTTATTAATAAACTAGTTTTTTCAGAGTCACTGTCGGCAGCAAATAACAATGCTGGCTCGTCATCTCCACAGTATAGTGAATGTCTATAGAGAGAAATGCATGTTACATTAAACTTGATTAAGAATCGATTAACGTTTAGACGACTGGGGGTGGGCAGCCCTATTTTTTTTATAAAGAATTTTTGTCAGCAGGATAATGTCATGTTTTTAAACAACTAAGGGTGGCTCGATTCAATATTAAATCCAAATCGACCGAGATTGTGAATTAATCTCGAACTTCAAATTAAAAAATTTAATTGTCGATGCTGCCAGTGCCACTCCTCCATCTCACGTCTGGTCAGTGTGCCAAGCGGCAAAAAAAAAAACACATGTTGAAGTGCTGCAAGTCTATGGTCAACCTCCTCTAACTTGGCTACAGCCATTCAAAAGAGCATCATGGCAACTGCAGAAGCAGGAGACCCATCAACAGAACTTAAACCCCCTCCTCTTTCAATGAAGTCGCAGGTGTGGTAGTTTTTTGGATTTCCAGTGAGTTATGTTGACAAAGTTCGCGCTTCAAGAAAGCCACAGTTTGCGGAAGCTCTGGGAGTCTCCTTCATATTGATGGCAGCACCCTGATGCCCGCAAATTAGATCAAATCTCCCGGAATCTAGAGTGAGCGAGCAAGAGCGCGCATGTGAGACAGAATAAACTGTGCTCCAAACCGTATAGCGCGCATGGCAGAGAGGGAGAGGGTGAGAGACCTTCCGTGTGTGCCTCATGAAGCGCATGTAAGAGAGAGAGCATCCTGATTTGCAAAAAAATAAATAAATAAATGTAAACATTGAGAATCGAATCGAACCGTGACCTTAGAATCGAACATTGAATTGAATCGAGATTTTGGAGATTCGTGACACCCCTATAAACAACGGTGCAATCCATTGAACAAGCTATACTTTAATTCCTCACAGCACCACTTTCATTCATTCCTGTCAAAAATGAAAACATGTCACTACTGACATGTTGAGATCTATAGATCAGTGGTCTGTAGAGAGACAATGTCTCACTTGTGAATAAACGTTAGAGTTGCTGTTGCTACATAACATCCCTCTGATGTGTTCTTGCAAACTATTTTGTTAGATGAAGCTTGGAAGGACAAGTAATTATCATGCTCCTTAATGCATTGTTTGATTTCACTGCAGGTCAGCTAACAAAGTATTCCTGACCAGTTTTTCCTAACTTTCCTTTGTTCTTGTCTATAGGTACATGTTGGGCAGGGGGGTGAAACGTAAGCTGAGCACATGCGAGGACCCTTCCCAGGACTTGCCATATCCACAGCAGAGGCAGCTGGTGCTGGACTTGTGTCTGGACAAGCTACAAAGCTGTCTGCAGCGAGCTGAACCCAGCCTACACCGCTCGGTCCTGCTGGCCAACACCCTCCGCCAGATTCAGCAGGAGATGAGACAGGAGGGGGAAACCTGCTTGCCACCAGCGTTGCTCGGCCCCTCACTCCCTCATGCCTCGACCCCACGGCACTTCCCTGACCTGCCTCCCGTGCCCTTAGACTGTCCTCAACCCCCAACTGGAGCACGGTCCCCTTCATTTCCCCTTAGGACGGCTGATGATGAGGAGGTCCAGTTGGGCGGTGCTGAAAATGAGACTCTTTTGCCATCCTTCGCTGGTGAAGACGACACAAGGTCGTTGGATTCACTCTTTGGCTCATTTGAGATTACAAATTCCACCAGCTACTTGACAGACTTGGCACTAGATGACATATTTGAGGACATCGACACGTCAATGTACGACTCCTCTGACATCTCTGTTCTGCCGTGTCCTGCGCAGAGAAGCGGTGGGGTGGATGAAGGCCTTAAGAGCCTTTCCAGCTGCACCTCCAACAGCAGCCTGCAGCTTTGTCTCTCAGACCTCAACGACCTGGACCACATCATGGAGATCCTGGTGCGCTCTTGAACCACAGCTCGCACCACAGTGTCCTCATTCAGCCATCCCGATGTTTTCTATGGAAAATGAATATAAAGCGTTTAATTTTTTTTTAAACAAGCAAATATTTTATCTATTTTTATACAAAGGACTGCTATATTTATATATAATAAAAGGAAACTGCCTTACACACACTCACTGTAGGATAAATGCACATTTTTAAGACTTATCTGATGGCCAAGCTTATGCTGCCGTCCTTCATATATTTAAGCAAACTAAGATATGAATATGCAGGGACTTTGGAAACAAATACAAAGTATTACCATTGACACTTATTTATATTGGATAGCTACTTTAGGAGGAGGAGATGGAAGAAAAGTGGATCATAATGGATGCTCTGTAGCTGTTGATGAGCTGAACACTTTTTTTTTTTTTGTGCGCGATTTCCACGCTATTCTGAAACATTACATTTACTGTCAGTAATTACAATTGTCAGATCATGTCATGCACATGCAGCGCTCACACTACCTCTCAAGATACCAAGAGCTCTTTCTCTATACAAAGACTGTCATTGTTACAACTATATTTGAATGGTTTCTCTTCAAATAACTTAAAAAAACTGCTGATTGTTTTATAAATGGCTCTGCGTTCACAGGAAAGCCACCTCAAATGGTGGGATTCAGTCCAAAGCTAAAGCTGTAGAAGAAATGCTTTTGCTCATCTTTCTATTCAACTTTTTTCCGAAACGTTTCTGACTTTTGGTTTCAGAACGAGCTGTTGCTTGTGTAAAAAGTGAGATATATTTTCGAATCACTCGGAATTTAATGCTATTTCTACTTTTCACGTACATGATTGTCAGACACAGCCACCGTCGAATCCCTCGTATGAACATAGTGCCTATAATGGAGAATGAAGACTGCCGACGATGAACTGCACACTGTGGAACCGCACATAGACTTGCCTGAGATTCTTGCTCTACCCCTATGAACTTCCCTACATGGGTTGTTTGCCGCTTTTTTGAGCATTTAGCAGGACCCTCTGTCCTCTAAGAAGCCATTACCTGAATGTGGCTCCACAGCTCCATTCTGTCCTTCATTGTGATCTACACTGCAAAAAGCTGATCGTGGATGCATCTTGTGCTGTTCTGAATGTCCAAGCTTACTCACAAGAAAAAATTCATCCGAACTGATGTCTCACCTGCTTACTTTATTCCTCTCATCACAAGTTTTAGGCCCGTTTGAGCCATCTCATGCACAACTTTTTGAAGTTATTACTGCTACAACACAAGATGGTAGACCAGAGCAAGGGCCCTTCATATTTGTGCTGCATTTACATCCACTGAACTACAAGTTGGTGCAATCGAATGCAAAGAGCCACAAGCTGCGGTCTGCATAAAGACAGGGCAGAGACAAGGGGGAGGGGAAGAACTAGAGAGCCAGATTAAGGGGGGAGGGGGGAGTTAAAGCAAACAGCTTCTGTCACGTGGAGAGCCGTGCTAGTGGTAAATGCTACATTGAGAGTTTGACAACAGCTGGTATGTGTTCACTCTCATTGGTGCGCTCAAAACAAGCCCCGCCCCCAGCGAGGCCCACAGGGGCTCCGTTCTCTTCCCGACCAATCATTTTGATTCAAGGGAGGAGCCTTATTCTTAATGTGGAATAGAATAGCAAGCGGTTCAATTTGGTTGGAATGTGTTCCCTTGCCTTATGGCTCTCTGATCATTACTGACTTAGTCTTAATTTGGATTAAATTTTGGCATTCCAGCAAAAATACAATGAGATATTCATATAATAATAAACTAATTACAGAGCAGACACCCCATCCTCCCTTCCCCCTCACAAGACACATGCATCGCCGCAGAGAAAACCCAACACTCACAAAGTTTACACACAGATTTTAGAAAACATACTTGTGTTAGATGTGACCAGATTATGGTCCGCATCAGCATGGTCAGATTATCAGCAACCTGTTAATGCTGAGAGCTGTGGATCCTAATAAGTGTGTAGCTTTGTAAACTTGATCAGTTTGTTTCTTTCTCTTTTTATTTGTGTTGTTTGTATATATATTTGTATTTATACATTTTGACTGAAGATCATGATATAATATATTGCTTTTATTTAAGAGTGAAATATCATCATTATCGGTCTTTAGGAGGGTTTTATTTGTTATTTGAAGCGTGATTTGTACTTCACCTCCTCTTCTTAGTAATAATTAACATGTACATAGATGATACAGAATTATGAAGAGATGTTTATCATTGAAATATTTGTAAAGGTTTCAATCTGTGCTGACTCTGAACTGAGCAATGATGGGATGTTTTCTACTGTGTGTTCAGTTCCCTTTGGATCAGGCAGTTTAGGCAGCTTTTAAACTTTTTATACGAAAGTGGTTAAGATAATCGAGGAGAGTTTAGAGTTGTTGGCCTCATTTAAATGTAATTTGTCCTGCTGCTTGAATTTCAGTCTTTTGAAGGACATTTGTTTTACAATAATCAGCCCCAGGAGCCTCTGGTTTTTAACTAATGTTCATTATGGTTTAGTCTCAGTATGTATTGCAGTAATGCACAGAGCATCAGTGAAAAGGAGTTCACACTGTGTTGTAAACTTGTGAACGGCCTAGTCAAATAATGTATGGTACGTTTCATGTACCGGTTGCACAGAGAATACAAAAAGCAGCAAGAGTTTGTATTTTCATGGTCCTTCTCAAATTTGCTTGGTTGTTATGCACAAAATAGCAAGCTTTAAACTTCACCTCATCTTGTTGATTTGGCAGTTTATTTTTTAAGCGAAGTTAATAAATAATTATATAATTATATATCCTAATGAAATTGTAATATCAGAAAGCTCAAAATGTCACTTTGTCCTAAGTGCAATATGAAAAAAAAAAATGAATATAAAGCGCTGTTTTGCCTACTTGCAAATGACACAATGTAGTGAGCCTATATAACTTTGAATGAATAAAAGGCTAGGTATTTTTTTTATTTATATAAAACAATGACTTTAATCCCTACAATTTATTCTTCCCCCAGCAACTATCTTTTGATCTGTTGCTATCTGTTTTGACCACAGATTTTATATGAGGTCTGTAAATAATAAAGCATTTTCTTTTGCAGTCATATTCTATGCAATATTGTAGCAGGTCAGTATGTCAAATAAAAAAAAATGGAAATGGAAACGTGTTGTGTATTTACTCTGCATCCAAAACAAGTCAATTACACTTTTTTTTGGAAGTAAAGGGATAAAAAATGACAGGCAATGTGGAATAAACAAAGCAGTTCAAAATTTAGAAAAGATGGACATTGCCCCCGCATGTGAATAGATATTGACTGACTTTCTTTTGGCATTATATGCTATATAGATATAGGATTCAACATACTGTATATTCTACACAAACATAAATGGTATAATGAATCGTCATATAAAGGGCACCACTTTAGCTGTACATTAAAATTGGGATTTTACACCATGATGCATGTCATATATATTAATTTAAACTCTTAGATGGAGTCGTTCTGGAGGCGTTTGCACATTGCTCGAATTGCTTGCAATAAATGTTTGAAGAATCTTGTATGAAGAAATCTGCTGTCGGCCCCATAAAGTCTATTCATTCAAGCCATCATTCTGTTCTTTTTTTTATTTATTTTTTATAGTTTTAAGCATTTCAAATGACATGTTCTTCTTCATAAACACACGACTTTTGGAGGGTACAGAGACGCACCCTGCTGCACTCCTCCTGGGATATCTCTGCAGTTGCTGTGCTTGATGGCAGCTGCCAGGAAGAACAAAGTCAGCAAAGTGGGGGAAGTCAATTTAGACTGAAAAAAAAAAGTGTTCCTTGCTATATGGCATGGTGACAGGTTCTCAGATAAATGTGATCTGATTCTGAACATATTCTTCTTACTGATTAGACTACAGATTCTTGTATAATGTTGTAATACCCCCCCCCACACACACACACACACACACACACAAACACAACAGAAAAATACCAGTTTTAACAATTATTAAAAACATGATTTGTATCTACACATATGTCAAGACTACATTTTGTCATGTATTAATTTTACATATACAACACTGTTGGACACAAAGCAGAACTACACACTTAGTGTTCAGGTAGCTAATATGTGGTCAAGTGCATGAGATGCTTACCTGTCAGTTTCCTCTGAATAATTCATTTGATTATACCTTGGCTATTTGAAAGGAATCTGTTTATGCCATTTTAAAAGGCATTTCTTCTTGTTCTTTTACTTTGCTCAATAATTTTCAATAATCAATAATAAAAATTTCCTGCCAAAAAAAAAAACATTAAAAATATATCAAATCCTTAAACAACATATTTTTTGAAAATGTGTATGTTTTTTTCATCACAGATATTAACTTAAATGGTTCTAAGTCATGAATGCTTTGGAATATAAACCTAAGTTCTCTTACGAGTATACTCTATGGAGCGGTATGGAGTTACCTTCACCGGAAATACCGCCGTGCATATAGTGCCCTTTGGGGCGCGAGCTGCCTTGCTTATGTCTGCTCTGTTGGCTTCAGTATTTTCGAGAAAATTGATTTTCCTTTAGCGTAATCTAGTTTACGCAACACTCGTTCCCATGTCCCAAATCTGAAGTTGAGTTAAAAAAAATAGCCTGGCAAACGGTTTTAAGTAGCCTAGGCCTAGGCCTACTTTTTAAATGGAAACACAGTTTCAGTTTTAATACTGTTTATACAGGATGAATATTGAGTGTTTTTGAATTTTACCTAATTTATGGCGATTACTAAAATATGTGATTGGAGAAAAAGGTCAATATAAAGTGTCCTGCTACCAAGACACTGATAGTTAACAACATGTACTAACAGCAGTCTTCCTGAAATAATGGTCAACATTTTTTTTCTGATATGATAAACTGATAGAAGGTCAGAACATACACTTTCATTCTTACTAGCCTGGGTGCCAGCCGAATTTAGCCCCGCCCACAACATTTGAGGATGGTCTGACTAGAATCCGAGTATGACGACGTCAGGCTACTTTCTTACACAACAACATGGAAGATCCATAGACAGAAGATCAGGCGGATAATCAAAGATCAGTCAGTACTCTTTACCTGAGCTCCACCTGCTGGACACACTATGCATTTGATTTGGGATAATCTAATAACAGAAATAATTTAATAAAAAAGAAAACAGTCAATTTAATATTGGTTAATATACATAGAGTTTCGGTGTTTCAAAGGCACTATCCTTCCCTTAGCACAGTTGCATAGTTTTTGCATAATAACAGGTTTAACTGTCACATTTGTATTAAACTGACCAAGTAAAAATATTGATTGCCCTTCATTATAGTCAGCTTGCACCAATATGCTAACAAGCATTTTTTTTTTTAAATGAAAATAGCTGCCTAAGCATTTGAAAAACTATATAACTGGCGCATTTAGTAAAATCTGTTTCTTTCACTCTTTAGTACAGGCCTACTGTACATGAATCTATGAATGTCCAAATTGTGGATTAATTAAGTTATGAAAGCAAAAAAAGATTTTTTGGACAAGCAACATTAAGACTTTTCTCAATAATTTTATCATCTTGTGTCCCTTCTGAAAAATAATAAAGGACCACTTTTAAAGAACATCCTTAATTGTTAACTGAATGTAATGTTTTCTGCATGCTATTTTAAAATGTAGCTATTATTGCTTAAATATATATCAAATGCAATCACTTTTTTTCCCACTTAAGTAGGTTACATCTTTATATGTAATTTCATAATTACTTCTGTCTTTGAAATTTGTTTAAAACATACTAACGAATGTGCTGCATATAGTTAACTAAAATAGGCCTATAATGTAATTTCTATTGAAACTTGTATGTCATGTAAAAATATTTGTAGGCCTATATTAATTTTAAATGTAAAATACAGTTAAATGTATAATCAAGTTCTCTACATTTAGAAAATGTGTACTTTAAGGTTTGACAAAAACATAATGATAATAAAGCACTTTAAAGTTAAACTTTTAATTTGACCCGGCCATTGTCATGGAAAGTAGCTACCCTAAGATGCATTTTATTTTAATTCATCGATATTATATTTCCTGCTTTTATTCCCCTAATACACTAGACATCAGTAAGCTACAGTTAACTTAGGTGCATGGGGTTGTCTGAATTTCAGTCCAGTTGAGAGATGATATTTGAGGGTGAGATTTAGAGGGTTGCACTGAGGTAGTGAAAATCAATTCCCAGTAGGGGGTCCGCACTACGCAGCTTTCTCGTTTTTCAGGGAAGCTTCTCGTCTTCACCCAGTTCTGGTACTTTCTAAGGGGCTTAATAAAGGTCTTGGGGAACAGCTGACGACTTAAGCGGACTCTCGACTACTCCTTACATACAGCTTTATCTTTTGTTCCGTGCTTCCTTAAGATTTCACACTCTTAACAGTTTTGTTTTGTGCACTTTATTAAAAACAGGCCTACTCGTTCCGTCGCTCACTGTTCCTAAACATTCTCATGAATATTTAAAGTTCATCGACGCAGCAAATCAGCTGAGCTGCAGCTGCATACGTTTATGCACGAATTTACATATGTCAATCTGAGCTCGGCTACTACTAACCGCATCCGCAGTTTATCGGAACATCTCGGTTCTATTAAATCACCTAAATTCTGTCATGGCCAAATGGGGAGAGGGGGACCCGCGCTGGATTGTGGAAGAAAGATCAGATGCGACAAATGTCAATAACTGGCATTGGTAAGTAGCACGTGCATGTCCTCCAGTTGGGAAAACGAGGTGTAAGTTTTGTAGCTCTTTGCAATACAGTATTGTTAAGGGCATGCCGCTAGCTGTAGGTCTGTTATGAAGTGTCTCTTAAGAAATTAAATTATGTTTCCTATCATATTTATTAATCTAGATTTAAGTTTAAATGCATAAATGTATAGGTAAAATATATTCTGTTATTGATCACAGATTTTGAGCTTTTTGATCACTTCCCACGTTCACATGCTCAACTATCTAATCTCAATGAGGACAGAAACAGCCAAATTCAATATTGCATGTCACATCGCAGGGAACGGCTGAAACTGTTTGATATTTCATATCTACTGCTTACATCTGATTTGTAATAGATTCCCAGAGAGCCCTTTGGTTAGTTTTTTCCAGTGTTTTTTTTTTTTTTTTTTTTTTTTTTTTTTTTTTCAAGCCTCTGGAATGTCCTGTAGGCTGGCACAAGCTATTTTTGGAAGTATGAATTCGAGACAGAATTAGACTGGTGCTCTGATGAAAAGCAAACCGAGCAATACTTTTGAACTGTCCCACTTGAAATGTCTTACTTAGTTATGTATGTATGTATTTATGTTTCAAAATATAGTCAAATCTATAGCCTAACTAAAGTACTCACCTGCCTGAAGATTGAAGTTCTTTAAGAATGACGTATAGACTCCCTTGTGGTTTTAATGTTTTTAAGGCTCAGTTTGTAGTTATAAGTCCCACAGGAGGCAATCATAACAATAAAAAGCACTTATTTTATTGGTTCCATACACATATAATACTTGTCTATGTGTGTGCGTGTGTGTGTGTGTGTGTGTGTGCAAATGTATGCCACATAGCCTACTGTATGCCATTGTAAAGATTGTTAGAGACAGTCTAATTGGTCGGTTTGATTTATTCTCTGAATTTGGAGAAACTGAAATGAATGGTTGCAATGCATAGTTCTCATTTAAAACATGAATCATATGCAACTTCTATAAAACAAATTATGTTTATAATTATTTCATTTTGTTAATCTTCTTACAGGACAGAGAGAGATGTCACAAGTTGGTCTCAAGATGTAATAAATAACCTCCTTCTCAGGATTCGTGTAGAGGGTGAAGAAGGCTTATGCGAAATTACAGATGTCAGCAATATAGACGGCGAGGCCTCCATCAACAACCGTAAAGGGAAACTGATCTACTTCTATGAGTGGGTTGTTAAAGCCTCATGGACAGGTGAATGAAAGTTCTGTTTGCTTACACAACATAATAATTGGTGCATTGGTGAATCTACAAAATATTTTTTCTTCACTTTAGGAACAAGTAAAATTGGAATCAAATATAAAGGCACTGTGGAAATAGCAAATCTCTCTGATGAAAATGACATGGATGACTTAGATGTAAGTGAACCTCTCTCCCAATAAAATACTCTTTCTATACAAGTGTAGGATTACAAATGTATTTAAATGTTTAATTTAGATTCCAATACAGTAGTGTTTTATATTGAGAAAGTTCATGAATGATGAGATCAGGAAATATCTGAAAACAGTAGGGGTTCCCAGGCCTGTCCTTCCTGTTCTCGTGTCTCATGCTGAGCCACATGCTTGGTTTCAGAGTGTCTCCACCTCTATGTAACCCATCCTCCTTGAAAGGTGTATCAACTACAATGTATGGCTTAGGTCAGACTTGGCTAAGATTTTTGGATGAAGCAGACTACAGCAATGCAACAGCATTAAAGAATCCTGCTTAAAAAGAGACACCCGAGTCTCCTGGTCTTCACTTCTGAGTTTTCAAACACTTTAGAAGAAAAAGTTCACAACACAAGAGAGGATGTTGCATGGAAATCTCTAAATGATGTTTATATGTACAGATCTGTGTTTCACTGTGTAAAGACCAGCCAAGCACACCGCTGACTGATCTCATGAGGAGGGAGGGAGTTAAGAAAGTCAGAATGGCACTGGGCAACTACGTCAAACATCTTAAAACAGGCAAGGGTTCTAAAACGTCATTTTGTTTAATTTTGTATATTTATTTATATATAATTAATCATATTCTTGTGACTTGTTTTCACAGAGTTCTCTCAGGGTATGATTTTACCAACAGAAAATGCACTTAACAAACAGAATCAGGAGCCAAAAGCCAAGGTCAAACTGGACAATACCCAAGTAAGTTCTCATAAACATTTCTGGTAACTTATTTTATATTTAATTTTGACTGTCTTAAGTTTGAATGATGCGTGATATGTGTCCCTTTGTTTTTACATATGTGTGTATAAGGAACAACACTCCACTCCAAACAAAATTTACCTTCGGATACAATAAAGTAACTTGAACTTGAAATTTGAGATATATAGTCATCCATCCACTTTATTTTATGTCTGAAATGGTCATCTCACATACTGTGCAAAGCAGCACAACATTTATGCTGTGTGATCAGCAAGTATAACATTAAAGATGTTTTTTCTTTTAGTTATTGTTTCAGTTATTTAAATTTGTTTGTGCTTATTTTCAGAATCAAGTTATATGTGTGCACTAGATAAATATATATATTTATCTCCCAACCCCACAGATTGGGTCCTCCACTACAGGTAACTCTTCCAACACTGGAGTCAAAATTCCAACAGTGTCTTTCAATCTGAAAGACACCTTCCTTACCTCACCAGAAGAGTTGTACAGGATTTTCCTAAACAAAGAGGTCAGAATAATTCTCCTATTGTTCTGTCAGCCTATACAAATGCAATCAAAACAATACATGTAAATGCATTCTGGTGGTCTTTTATGCATAGATGTGGAACTCACTTGCACTTGTCTTTTCATAGATGGTACAGGCATTTACACATCTTTCTGCGTTTGTGGATGGGTGCTCGGGTGGCAAATTTCAAATTTTGGAAGGAAATGTTCACGGACAGTTTGCAGAACTGGTAAGAATAATCATTTAATAATTTTGTTGATGACAGTAGTTTTCGAAATTGATTTTAAGAATCTTACCCTTTCCCTTTAGATTCCAGACCAGAAAATTGTCATGAGATGGAGGTTTTCAAGTTGGCCAGCTGGTATTTATTTATTTGTTTGTTTATGTATTTATTTGATTATTATATTTGTATTTATATTAAAATAGTTTTATTATCTTATTAATGAATTCACATACCACTTTTAATATTAGTAATAATGTTAGTTTTTTTGTTAGTTAGTTTTATTTAATTTTAGTTTTGTTTAATGTTAGTTATTACTTGTTTTGAATAATTATATTAAAGAGATACTTCACTCTCTGGAAAGATGAATGTGTATTTAAAATGGGTCATTTATGTAGAAGAAATGTGAAATTATTTTTGAATTTGGACATGTCATGTCCAGGAAAAATAGGACGGTAACCCCTACTACTCAGCTTTCTCCACAGAACAGAGCCTGCTAGCCTTAGCTTCCAAAAAAAGATGGCTGATACTATGTGTACATTATGTGAGTGAGATCCCACCCTCTATGGGTGGTTTGAAAAGATGCGGGACAGCCCCTACTACTGACTGTAGTCTTTAGCCTGTGGCCAAAACATCCTCCGATGACACAAAATGACAATTTTTGCGTCATCGGAGGATTTTTTCCAGACAAAAATACATAAATCTCTCGTCTCAGGGGGATATGAGGGTGGAAAGCATGGTAATTTGAAAATATTACAGGTTTCCTACAAATACAACACTTAATGCTAAATCCTGAAGTATACCTTTAAGGAATATCTATGAAGTCTGGAATGTGTCATTCATTGTGGACTGCAGCCAGTGTTGTTTACTATTGTTGGGTCTGTTTGCTTTAATCTGAGAAATGACTTTTTTTTTTTTTTAATTTTCTTTCAGGACATGCAGCAACTGTCATTTTAAACTTTGTGAATCGAGGCAGTGAGACAGAGCTGATTCTGGAGGCCAGAGGAGTTCCCAGCAATGAAGAGGAAAGGATGAAAGAGGGCTGGCAGAGATACTACTTTGATGCCATTAAACAGACATTTGGATATGGAGCACTACTCTGCTAAGCCAAAGCCCATGTTGTGTCATGCCAGAAACTCTGGACATAATACACATAGGCCTTAGTTCATTTAGGACATTTAAGTCACTTTAATATACATGCACTAGAAAAATCATTGGTGTGTATCTTGAGACAAAAAATAGTCTGTGACATTTTAAGATATGTCAGTGCAAATTACTTTCAGTTAAAACTCAAACATGCATTTTAGTCTGGGACTAGGTTTATGTCTTATCTGTGAAACCAGGGGTTGGATTAAAGAAATGATATCTGTGGAGGTGTGAATATGAAACACTTGTGTATATCCTGCCTGCACCAGTTAGTTGGATGCCCACAAACACCTGTGCCACTCAATGAAAATAGTTGACTAAATTCTTTTTGTATTTGTAATTGCATTGCATTAGTCATGTTTGAATGTAATATATATTTTTGATTGTTATGTCTGGGCATTTCAGATATAGATATTGAAGAATTTAAAACTGTTTTATAAATTAGATTATATTTGCCTGTGATGAAGTGAAAGTCAAATTAATTGTATGATCATGATCTCTCTCTCTCTCTCTCTCTCTCTCTCTCTCTCTCTCTCTCTCTCTCTCTCTCTCTCTCTCTCTCTCTCTCTAAATATATATAATATATATGTCAGATCTTATCCGAACATCGGAAACTGTTGTAATAAAACAGGAAATACATGTTTTAACTTAACAGCCATAAACATGCTTATCACTCGAAACCTTACTTATGTAGACTACATAATATTTGACTATTTAAACTAATAATTAATATTAATTCATATTTTATATACCACACTGTTTACTTCACACACGGCTGAGAGAGAGTCAGCTGTTCACAGGCGTTCCCACATCCTGAAAACTGTCGTGTACACTTCTGCTCCATTCCTCCATTCGCGTATCTGTGTGTGCACAGCTGATTGGTCAATTGACTTTTGAAGCGCAACGATTGGCTATCACCCTCTGTCTCGTATTCTGATTGGTGAAACCGCCGCGGATTAGGAAATAGGTGGTCGGTCTGTGAACAGAAATATGATGAAACACGAGAAACCGTAAAGACGGGCGATTTGTCTTGTGTTGTTGAATTTGATAGACATTGCGGTTGCCTTGGAAACATTATTCCGAAATCGTCCTGGAAATAATATTAAAGGTCCGCAAGCGCCACAGCAATAGTCTCTAAGAGGTGCTGTGTGTTTAACGTTAGCTCTGCTAGCTGTGTGTTGTTAGGCTGTCACTGAGTTAGTTACATTTAGCTGCTTGGTTCAAATGCTGTGCTTATTGTGTTAATGTTACATGTATGCGAATGGATTGTTTTGCTGTAATCCATTTGGGCTTTTGGGAGAAGTTTTGGCTTGCTGGTCAAGTTCTATAGCTAGTGGGTTATGCAGTCAGGTACAGTTCACTGACACATTTATATAGCTAGATGGCTAGTTAGGATAACAGATAGCTGATGTGCTGATTTAGTTATTTAAGTCAGATTTTTAGTCGTTCACTGCGTTTCGCACGCTCTGGCAACATGAATCCCATTAAGAAGTCTTGTCTGGTCCTTATTGTGGCATTAGCTGTGACTTTGGATGTGACAGCTGGTGGTGAGTCAAAATCTTAAAGTATTCAATGTTCAGTAAAGTATTCAGTATTCCACTTTATTAAATATTCAATGCTTAGTCTATTAGAGACAAGTACATGTTTATTTAGACTTTAACTAAAGTGTAAAGCTAATTAACAGTTTGAATGTTTTAACATGTATTGTATGTAAGTCTAACCCTATATAAACTGTAAACTTGGCTGTTTGGTGCATTAATTGCAGAAGTAATACCAGATGAGGAAGGCGATGCACAGGTCGGTGCGCCTCAGGTAATACAGCATTAAGTCATAAGATGTGTGTATGTATATATATATATATATATATATATATACTATACTATACGTACACACACACACATGTTTGTTGTAAACAATGCTATTTTCTTTGTGATCTTTGCATCTCATTGCATCAATGGTTTTGTCGAAATCAGAGCACAGATAAGGATGGCTCCAGAATTTTGTCGGGACATGCATATGTTCCTAAAGATGCCCAGCCTGACAGCAGCACAACAGACACTAGTGTGGAAAGCGAGATTGAGGCGATTGAAAAGGAAGATCTTCCAAGTCAGCCACCTCCACCAGAGGAACGTCGTAAAGAAGGTGAGTCGGAGCCAGATGGGGTCTGCAGGTGCTTCCTGGTTAATATAAAGCATTCAACTCTTAAGTAGTTAGATTTTTCTGTACATTTAGCATAATTTTATCTGTCTCTCTCTATTTCGCAGCTATTATTTTAATCCCACCATTAGGGGTTTGATGCTATTTGTCTCATATGTTGTCGTTGCTTAAGTTTAAGTTTAACTCCACAAAATCCTTCTTTTCTGTTCATTGCCTACAGCTTGCAGTGTCTGTTGAGAAAAGAAACTTGCTCACTCATGCATTCACCTGTGTCTGGTTGGTTTCCTGTGAAAGTGTCTGGTTATTGTGTTATTTTCTCATTGGCGTTTATCTTGTGACGTAGTTCCGGTGGTGACTGGTGGGACGGCCTCTGGTGAGCCCTGCGTCTTTCCTTTTCTTTTCCAAGGGAAAGAGTTCTCGGAGTGCACTACTGAAGGCAGAGGAGACGGGAGACTGTGGTGTGCCACAACGTACGACTACAGCACTGATAAGAGATGGGGCTTCTGTGAAAGTGAGTGAGCTATAATTGGTAGCATACTTAAGAGTGCTTTATATTGTAAAAATGAATCATATTGTTTACTACTTTAGTTGAAATCAAAAGAGTTCTCTGCACATTAGTAGCAAGGTGTTTTTTTGCATAATTAGCTTGGATATGAGAAGATCAATGCTAAAATACTGACTGATATAAATCAGTCATGATCTTTTAACACTTGCAGTTGTTATACCAATTGTGGGTGATGTCTATGTGTCCTCACAGCGGAGGAGCAGGCAGAGCAGAGGAGGTTGGTGGAAGAGGCTGAAGAACTGTACCAGGCCACACTTAGGGTGATCAATGGTACCAACCGGAGGAGCCAGAAGAAAGAGTGAGTGCTGTGCCATGTATATTTCTTATTGCTTGCAATGCTCATGCAAAAGTTTTCCTGTTGTTTTTATGTCTTCAAGATATACTTTCTGAAAGAAATGTGCAAGAAACTGTACTACAAGAATGTAGCTTGTACAGTATCTGGAAAGGTTCACCTTTGTATCTTACCTAACCCTAAAGGGCGCATACTTGTATCTTGTGTTTTTTTTTTTCTTCTTTTTTTTCCTGACAGGATAGTTTTGGTTTCTCTGTTGTTATAAAAATATGAAATGTGTTTTTATTATACCACTGTTCAAATGTTTACTGTCAATAAGAGTTTTTTTTTTAATGAAAAATATTATTCTAAATTCTTTATCTAGCAAGGATGCATTAAATAGATCAAAAGTGACAGTAAATACATTTATAATGTTAACAAAAGTTTTCTAACTAAAATAATGTTCTTATGAACTTTCTATTCATCAAATAATCCTAAAAAATATGTATTATGTTTTTTACAAAAATATGGTGACTGAGAGAGCTCTATGCACTTCAACTGCAGAAAACTCATGCAAATAGGAAAAAAAAACACCTACAAATGATTAATTTTGGTTGCTTTGTGAGGATTTGCAGCTGATAAAATAATTGCTGATAATTGCTTAAAATAATAAAGCTGATAAAATAATTGTACTGATCCCAGACTTTTGAACGCAAGTATATTCATCATTGTGTTCATTTCTGTATTACAGGTTGTATGAAAAACTCCTGAAAGTTGCAGAGATGGGTCATGCTAAGGCTATGGAGAAGGTGGCATATGCCATGCTTTTTGGAGACTACTTACCTCAGGACGTTCCTCAGGCGAAGGAGATCTTTGAGAAACTGGCACTGGAGGGCTTCCCTAAAGCTCAGACTGTAATAGCAACTGTTTTTATTTTTATTTACTGTTTAATGTTAATACTGATGCCTTTTTTTGTCCTGTGACTCATTTAAAGCTGTTTAAGAATAGCAGCTGTGTGCTTGGTTATTTTATCAATGCTGTTATGGCATCTGCATCAGGAAAACTTTTTTTTTTATATATATATTATGGTTTTTGTTTTGTTTTTTTACATTGAGGTCCCATGAAATTTGTGTTCACACAGGCACTCGGTTTCCTATATGCTGCAGGATTAGGAGTGAACTCTAGTCAAGCAAAGGTATCCTCTAATGACATTCATCAAGCAATTCATGCTTACTTTAAATGTGAATGTTTACTAAAAAATCCTGTATTTAACCTAATTGCAGGCATTGGTGTACTACACTTTTGGAGCTTTGGGTGGAAACCTAGTTGCTCATATGATTCTGGTAAGAAGAATGATTTTCTGTCCTATATTTTAAACAAGGAATGATCTTGTTCCAGCCAGGAAACAAGACTTGGATTAGTCTTATCTTATGTATCAAGTCTTATTTGACTTTGCTTACATCTCACTGAGTGTCTAGGCAAGCCTTCGGAACTACTGAAATTCTGACTGACACGTTGGCTCAGTTACATGAAGCAAAGTTGAATCCGCAGACCTTGTGGCATTTTTCAATGCATTGGTACTGCATAGGTTTTTGTTTGTCCTGCCGTTCATTGCTGTGCTGTCTAATAAATTTGTGCTTTCTTTTCAGGGATACAGATATTGGGGAGGTGTTGGGGTTCCTCAGAGCTGTGAATCTGCTCTTACTCACTACAGACTTGTGGCCAATCATGGTAAATTTTGCAACATTGCTGTAAATGTTGCAACATTGCTTCCTCAGATGCAATTCTCATACACATCTAAATATGTCTAGTTTTAGCACAACATTATTTATAAGGTCCCTGGTGGCCACTTGTAATGATGAGATCTTAATACTTGCTATGATTTTTTGGTCAGTCCATTTAAAAAAAAAAAGTATTCATTTTCTACATAGTGACTTACTTCTCACATCATACATGCGAAAGGATTGTTTTCTGAGCAGTTTGGACATAAAAAAAAGACCTAGAAATATGTAACACATTTTTGGGTTCAATTTACTCATGCTGTGCTGATAGATTTTGGTTATAACGTCCACCATTAATTACTAGTACCACTTAGTTATCCTCACTGTGTGTCTGTCTGTCTACGTTAGTGGCCAGCGATGTGTCCCTGACAGGGGGCAGTGCAGTACAGCGGATCAGGCTCTTGGATGAAGTGGAAAATCCGGGGTCTAGCAGTGGAATGCTAGAGGAGGATTTAATCCAGTACTACCAGTTCTTGGCTGAGAAAGGAGATGTGCAGGCACAGGTATAGTAAAACCATGTTGTTTTGTCTGTGGCATTATTGAAATCGATCCTCCTAGGAGGCTCCTTTTTTTTTTTTTTTTTTCGCAGATTATCTGTCTCATATTCTACTGTCAGGACATAATGTCAGTTTTAACAAATATATACATTTATTTATTTATTTATTTATTTATTATTATTTTTTTTTTA